ACTTGGACCAATAAAACCAGATCGTTATATCCGCCAGTTCGTTATAAGCGTGTTCGTTATAAACGTAGTTTACTGTATTTCAGAACATCTTGTCTTCAATGCGTGAAATCTAGGTGACCAGCTCATCAACACAAAGACACCACTGGGACCGAGAAATACAAGTCCCAGTTTACTTGGTATTAAACAAGAAAACGTGATCTTGTTGACACATGTCAAAATATGGTGTATTTGAAGAGATATAGCACAGTTTGTGGTGTTTATGAAGACGAAGGTGTGGTATACCCACCAACATTCTCAAAAGATAACATCTATCATAATCCCTGTTTTACAACAGCAACAAATTCACTTCATGGTACCAACATTTCACTATTGCAGCAGCGTCCAACAGCTGAAGAGGAAGGAACATCACATGTTGTTCTTTTGGCTGAAGAAAGCACACAAACAAGGAAAACCATTTCCAAACAGCCCATAGTATATACTAATGTACCCCAATCCTGTTTTAGCAAGATGGGTAATTATGTGCTTCAATTAAAAGGACCTTTCACCCAGGATGTAGATAGTGTTAACACAATGCCTGACCATGAGTAAAACTGGTCATATCACATGAAGGATGTACTGGGAAAACAAGACAAACATAGCCTCCAAAACCAATTGCGCATATGCCAGTGTTCTAGAATGTGCACACTATGTTGCTATGATACAGCATTCAATTAATGTGGTAAAAAAGGGTATTGAGCATTTGAATCCTGATCAGATGCATGTGCTTGCCTTGGATGAACCACTATACACACTTGCTAAAACAATCCAATGGAACTGTCCTGAATTATATGATGAACTTCCTTATCATGTTTGGTAGATTTGCATATTGAAATAGTTGCTTACAAGATTCTCAGAAACTGTCCCGAAGGAAGTAGATGGAAAACTGCAATCTGTGCTGCTGGAATTGCCTCAGGCAGATTTACTGATTCCTTCATCATGTGTACCCACCTTACCAACATCAGACATATGTGCGATATAAGGAAACAGAAGCGAACACAGAAGATCCTTTCAGAAACTGGTGTGCACCGAAGTAAGCTGCTCAGCCCGTTTCACTACTGGCCCCTTGTTCTTGAACAAGAACTTTGCATATTGTCCCTGGTGGGTGCAATTAAAAAAGCAGATTTCCCAAAGTTTGCAGCATCGCTGTTATATTAATGGCTTGCATTTCACAGATATGTCCCTCTTACAGTAGAGCACGATCACCGCTGTACCTCGAATATTTTTCCGGTGGATTCATGACACACAAGACTAAACGGACATTCTCTTGTGTGGCACAAGGTCAGACACATGAACAATTCAATAGCCGTATGCAAGGAGATGGAGGTGCAGTGGATTGACTGAAACAGCCGAGAGTTTTCTTCTAGGGGCCCACAGAATTCAAAGACATTGTCACTAGTTCATGCCTTCACCGGTTCATATGCTTGGAATACGTGTCAAGTATTTCCTGAAGTCACCAATGCTTTCCCATCATCAGCAGATATCTCTGACAACACAATGCAGATTCTTGAGCGGTTTGTCGTTCTCACTGGTTTATTTGGAAGGTCAATGAAAGGCAAAATCTCTGTTCATGAAGATCTCAGACAATTGACATTTCAACCCAAAGAAGCAGCTCTGAGAAAGCACCAATGCATATATGGGGACAGGTGCTTGACAAACGTCCCACACTACAGAATCTTGTAGTCAGGGGTTGGGAGAGGACATGCAGTAAAATATGGATACCCAAATGGACGTGTTATAAACTAACACTACACCTGTGAGAAGTCTTGCAAGCCTTTGTAAACTTCACACTGCCTGTTTTGAGTACAGTGCTGTGTGATACTTTGAAGGAAAGTGTTCACTGTAAGTGAATTATGGACCCGTAAACACATACATTGAACTGATATTCCTGGTCCTACTTAAGTAGGAAGTAAGTTAATGTCAAAGGTTCATGGCAAAAATGTCAGTAATACTTTTACATACATTCCTGTTTTTAAGATATGGATCCATTCCCAGATGAGTGGTTTTGGGGTGATCTGATATAAACTAGGTGGAACATTTCTCAGTAGACAATTTATAAAATAATATGTCGAGAATAGATCATAGGCGATGCATATTAATTGATACAATGTCACTTCAAAATGTTTCATCATATCAAAACTTATCAACTTATCCTTAGTCCAATGATATCAAATGATATCTATATCAGCTGTAGAAATAGACAATTTCTGAAAACTAAGACATATTGGAGGCCATCTTGGATATTCGTCATCACCATGCAGGGGGCGCTGCATACCAGATTTGAATTATATAAAGCACTGTTGTGATTACCCCTAAATACATTATTTATCATACATTACATTTATGATAAACGAGTATAGACTAAAGTCATTAGAGATTTCAACCATGTCGGCGGCCATCTTGGACTGTCATCACCACAAGGGGGTGCTGCAAACTAGGTTTGAATTATATACATGATTGTTGTGATTACTCCTAAATACATTACAATGATAATTTGTATAAATTGGCCAGATAACTATGATGTGTTCAGTATAGATTGATATCATAAGAGATTTCAGCCATGCTGGCGGCCATCTTGGAATTTCTACCACCAGGGGGCGCTGCAAACTATATTTGAATTATATACAGATCTGCTGCAATTCATTCCGCATGCATTAGTGTGGATATATGTATAAATGGATCAAATAAGTATGATATATTGAGTATATATTGATACCATTAGAGAGTTCAGCCATGTTGGCGGCCATCTTGGATTTTCTACCACCAGGGGGCTCTGCTGAGGTGGATCCATATCCAAAAATGTTTGAATGGTTCAATGTATAAGTGTGCCAAGTTTGGTGCTTTTAACCCAAAGTGCACAATTTTAGCCTTAACCGCCCCACTAATGTCGGGAATCTAACCCGTGTCTTCGGCGTGACGAGCGAACGCTTTAACCACTAGTCTACCGCCCCGAATCAGGAAGTAATTAGGTTTTGTACAATACCCGATCATTCCATCCCATAGTCTTATTATGATAGCACGTGGAAAAAAGCTTTAAAATAATCATAAAGTAAATATTAATCCTCAGGATAGCGGAGTTGTCCTTTGATCTTAACGAAAACCTTAGGACCATAGAGATAACGAATATTATTCCTGAGGGGCAAAAACTGTATTTTCTGCATAAAGATTAATCTTTATCTTTATGCAGAAAACAGCTCTACACAAATCAAGGCGCGCGTGTGTATCGGGGAATAACGTTAATATAGGTCCGAACTGATCCGATAAAGTCAAGGTACAATAAATGCAACTGACACGTGTATAATTGCTATCCCATTCAATCTTCCTGATCCCCCATCTGTGTCCGCAAGCTAGTAATAACCCTTGCCACGTCACTAATATACCCTGCGGGGGTGTCGCCACGCTGAGGGGGTTAACCATCAACACAGTGATTGCTTTATATGCGGCTAATCTGTCATTTTGATGACGTGACAGATCTGCAAGATGTGGCCTTTCCCACCTTCTGTGTGCCGTGTCACATCCTGGGATAGGTATTATTAGTAAACAGAAGTTAATTATATGCGTTATGATATATTACAACATATTGTTTAAAGTAATGAAATATTGTATTGAAAAATACTAGCGACAATATTAGATACTGATCTTTATGAATTACTTTCACACTCAGGCATTTTTTCATTGAAAAGAATGTGATCAAGGACCTCTCTCTCTCTCTCTCTCTCTCTCTCTCTCTCTCTCTCTCTCTCTCTCTCTCTCTCTCCACATATATTAGACTGGAGCAGTCTCTGTTTCCTTATACTATGCTGTCGGACAAAATAAAGCATACACTTGAACATTGGGTTTCATGGTTGCTTCATTTTTAGCCACCGTCAAACATGGGTGTATACTTTATAAGTCTTCACTAACCTTGTTAAACCTGTCCGTATCTACCATATATTGTACATAGCGAGTTCCAGCACCATGACTACGGAATGTTAGTCTAACGCTTAGTCTCTGAAAAGATATATTTTTTATAGCAAGAAGCAACAACATTAAAAGTTAAAAGGAGTCCCAGTGAGATGGGAGGTGCATTGAAGAATCTAGACTTACTTCATTTAGGCCACAGCCCTACTGTAAGGGACGGGAAAATAATATGGTTCAGAGACTGAGACAGACTTGAGTAATATCTTCATTTTGTTTTTTGTCAAAACCAGACTAGAATATTGCAAAGCACGTCTAGCTATCTGAATGAAATCAGCATCAGAAATGTGTTGTTTCAGAAGAGAGAAAATGTATTATGTCATGAAAGACTTCAAAGTCTATAGGTTAGTCAAACAACGAGTTTACAGTGAGCACGTGTGACATATGGAACACTGATATAGCTATTAAACGCATCAATAAAATATATCAATAAAATATATATGAAATATACATTACCACATTAAGATTTAATCAGTTATGCATGCATATTTATATGTGTAAACAATAAAAAAATAATCAGTATTTTAGCTTAGTGATTGAACTGATTTGTGCGATTTGCCAATTAAATGCCATATGGAATCACTTGCGATTTATTTATTTGAATGTATTACACCTATTAAAAAAATAAACACATTTTATTTATTCATGGTATCCAGACAGAAACGTTGTTTGTTCATGTAACATAAAAACTTAAAACAATTTATTAATTCTACTGTCTACAGTGATAATAAGTTGACTTTTATTACTCGTTGGTGACTAAACGTAACCATTGTCTTTGAACGAATGGATCAATAAATAATTTATGGATGTAAAACAGGTAAACAAAATGGGATAAGTTCTGGTCTGTAGAGTGATAAACAAGTCATGCTTGTCAGTGTCATTTTTTTCATTATACGAAAGCCATATTTGTCATTCAACAACAATAATTTGCTTATCCATGCTTCGTTTGGGTCACGTGCTTCATTTTTAGCCAATCAGCTAACAACACGCGAGTCGTCCCGGATTATACATTTAGCCCGGAACTCGCCGGTGCCACGTTGAGAAGAGTCGATATAACAGTTGACAACGGTGCAGTTCTCAGACCTCTCCTCGCCTTAGTGCAAGCTTCCACGACATGAATACGTTAGTTATTTTATTACTGGGCCTTGTTGCCTATTCTACAGCAGATATTGTTGAAGAGGATGGCGTGTTGGTGCTAACAAAAGACAATTTTGATGGAGCTGTCACCGACAACGAATTCGTTTTAGTGGAATTTTGTGAGTATAGACCCCAGTGTATCTTATAATACCAGCTCATTGGAGGGCGTATGTTGACAATGAAGCGAAATTACCAGCAACATTTCCTACATTTTGTTTCTCTTGACCTTCATGACAGGATTTTATTTAAACTTCAGGAATACCTGCGCGTTATCTCAGGCGAGTCAACAGGTTCCCGTCCTTGAACTCGCTGACCGTTTTAGTCGGGGCTGTGGTAATCTACCATATGGTTGGATTCAACCAGTTTTGATCGTGTCTGAAGTCGTATTCACCACTTGAGACCTCGTTTAAATACACACACGTGAACACAGCGTTTTCTGGGATGTGTGTATTGATTGAACACTACACGTGTGCAGCCACGCTCACCTGGGTACCTTGGAGGTGTGGCCAAGTTGACACGATTACCCTGCCTTAAAACGAACAAATGTGTCCCAACGAATGTTGACAACAGTTAAGAAGCGATTTCATTTCTACAAATTTGAGTTAAAACCATTTTTGTTATGGCGCCCATACCATAGGTAGGAACTGTTAGGTAACTGCGATTGTGTTATGAAAGTGAAATCCAAAGCACCTATGTTCGTGCATTTATGATGTTCATTTACAGGCTGTGCAGAATCCTAATCGGCACTTTGGCCACATTAGCTCTTGGTTTTTTTAACTACAGATGAATAAATTCAATATAATTGTCATGACTTGACTACCTTAATGGTCAAGTTGATAGGGCCTGGAGATCAATTTAAAGGTTGGTGGTGCGAGCCCCTGTCTAATACCAAAAGATGGTACTTGTTCTTTCCCTGCCTGACGCTTGGCACTAACTTGGGTATTCTCTTTGCGCGGGTATGTGTAGAATGCCATGGTAGTTGGCATTGTCTCTTCATTGCCTGTGTTAGGGATTATCCATATTTTACACATTTTCAGAAGACAGCAGTAAATGGCTTTTTGCGGAATGTACAGGTTGCAGTGGTTTATTGTGTGGGTATGGGGTGTAGAAAGAGAACACGACAGGATCTTTCCACTTTATTGATCTGGTATTGACATATCTCAGCTGGTGCATTGATCTAGTCATAAAATAAATAGAATGTGATGATCTTGGTTGAGTATATTACAGTAAAGTTGAGGGGCTGTTTGATGTGTATTGTACTGATGTCATGTCTTGTAATTAGTAGTATTTTTAAAGATGGAATTGGATTCACTTGGTTCTGTTGTCTTCAAGATTTCCTTTGTGGTCTAGGCCTATGGTTCAATCCCTGGCCGTGTCATAACAAAAGCACTCGTGAAGATCCGGGTTGGAAAAGGTATTCAGCAACCCTTGCTTGCCGTAATATCCCAATTGTGTGGATCGATGCTCATGATGCCAATCACTGGATTTTCTGGTCCAGATTATTTGGTAATGTTCACAGACAGCCTTTATACCTGGAATATTGCCGAGTGCGGTGTTAAACAAAGATCATACCAAAAGATGTTAAAAGATGGTACTTCTTGGTTGCCTTACGTAGCACTCTGCATTAAATGGATAAAACAAGGACTGGCTGGCTCAGAATAATGTATATGAGTTGCATGGGCTAGTGGGCTAGTGCAACACAACCAGCATAAGTCCTGACTAGTACAAGCAGCCACACATGCACATCGCTGTATAAGTGCAATAATCTTGATCATGATGGTGAACCCCATTACACCTCATCTGTTGTCTTCGTCTCTCAAACCCTGGGATATGGACATATGTTGATGTATTTATACTGTTTTAGAAGCTTCAATGAGTGACCCCTATTTCAGATGCCCCATGGTGCGGACATTGCAAGGCGCTCGCCCCAGAGTATGCAAAGGCTGCCCAGACTCTCGCCAGTGAAGGCTCTGGAATTAAACTTGGTAAAGTTGATGCCACAGTTGAAAGTAGCCTGGCTGAGAAGTATGAGGTCCGTGGCTACCCCACCATCAAGTTCATGCGTAAAGGAAAGGCTTCTGAATATGCTGGTATGTATTTTGGATCAAATAGGAACATGGTGGGCTTCACTTCTGATGGGAATATTGAACCACCTCTGTGGTCTCATGGTAGAGCGTCAGCCCAGAGAGCTGAAGGTCCGGGGTTTGACCCCTGGCCGCGCCATACTTAAAGACGTTAAAAGATGGTACTTGTTACCATGCCTGGCACTTGGCATTAAGGGGCTAAAACAAGGACTGGTCGGCTCAATCAGTAATACTGTGAGTGGGTATTCATGTTAAACTGCGGCTTGGTATCTAAGTAGGCTAGCACTATGAAATCGACATTAGTCCGGACTGGCACAAGCAGCTATATGCACTAAGCTTTAAGAGGCAACTGAGGGGATTGGGTGGTCAGCTTGCTGACTTGATTATCCCAATTACTTGGATCGATGCTCAAGATATCAATCACTGGAATGTCTGGTCCAGACTCAATTACTTACAGACCACCGTCATACAGCTGAAATATTGCTGAGTGCGGCGTTAAGCAACAAACAGATACTATTTTCTGACAAACTTTTGAATCCTCCAGGAGGAAGAACAGCAGTCGATATTGTGAACTGGCTGAAGAAGAAGACCGGCCCACCAGCCACCCCACTTAAGACAGCCGATGAGAGCAAGACATTCATTGAGGCATCAGAGGTCGCCGTTGTTGGATTTTTCAAGGTGGGATATTCTAGAGATGACAATTAGTTCTCACTGTTCACTACAGTGTACCAGGGATGTTAAACATGTGGGCAATAATTTGATGTTTGTGTATCATGAATGTGTGATTTATGTGAAGTAATGAATACTGAGCTGATCAGATTACATAATATTTTTGTTGTAATGTTCATGGGGGTAGAGTAGTCTTGTGGTTTAAGTGTTTGCTCACTAATGGCCCGAGAGAACGGATTGCCCAGTCTTCTAAGGCACCACATAACTGGAATACTGTTCAAAGCAATGTTAAACCCAACTCACTCAGTAAAGACCCTGGTTTGATTTCCCCGTTTGGTTGTAATGACTGATGCCATTCTTGTTGCTTGTTGGGATATTGCCGAGATGTTATGAACGGACCATGCTCATATTTTATTGGCTTCATTGTTTTAATTTCTCTTCCCCAGGATGAGGAGTCGGATGCTGCAAAGGCTTTCCTTGAGGCTGCCGGCGGTATTGACGACATTCCTTTCGGAATCACCTCCGAGGATGCTGTTTTCAAGGATAACAAAGTTGACAAGGACTCCATCATTCTGTTCAAGAAGGTACAGTGACATTAGCCTTTCTCCAAACCATCTTCAATCAAGATCCCATGGATGAGAATCAGGTTTCTTACTTTGATGCGATACCTCTGCCTAAATAACTGAAGATGCCTCCATAGATGGTAGTGTCAGATGAACCTGCATTGAAAAGAACGATGCTTGGGTTGTTGAGTTAAGCAGATGTCCTAAAATGATAAGATTTGGAAATTTCACGTTTTTTCATTAAAAACCAAACATACCACAAATATTCCTCAGATGGTACTCCTGTTTGGGTGTAGAAGCAGTGAAGCTCGGAAACAGGGTGTATAAAATATCTTATACAATACGGTGGAGTGGTGTTATTGTTTGGCATTCAGAAATCCCTGATTATATTTGTTCGAGATACCGAAATCAGATAAGCTTGTCTAAATGCTTCACTCACTCGTACCAAGAATTGAATAGTCTCAACACTGATTGGCTGATCCTATTGAAGTGTCCTCGGCTCTTCATGCAGAGGGGTATCCTCGGAGTTATAGATCGGAGTGTAATGAGATTTGGGCAAGCTTGATCTAACTCTGAATGTTGTGCATTATTCATGCAGGGACTGAATCTTTAAACACAATTTGAAAACTCTTTTCCAGTTTTCTTTTGTTGATCCTTGAACATGATTTAAAAACTCTTCAGTGATTTACTGTACATTGTACACTAGTTTTGAGCATATGCAATGCAACATCTAATCTGTTTTTTTTGTTTTACCTTTTTCAGTTTGATGAAGGCAAGAATGTCTTTGATGGTGACTTCAAGGCTGATGATATTGCAGCATTTATTTCTGGAAACCGTTTACCGCTGGTTGTGGAATTTACCCAGGAGGTGAGTTGACATGCATGTTAAGCTTCCCATACCCAGATAGTGAACTTCGCCGTAGTGGGGGTTGACTGAGAGGCTGATTTTCTTAGTTATGGTCATTTAAATTCTTGTAGTATTTGTTTTTAAATGCGACAGCAAGTCTTTGATTTAAAGAACTATTTCATTGGCATGGACACATAGACTTGTCATGTTGTGGTACCTTCAGGTTTGAACACTGAGGTTCTGATTGACATGTTTTAGTTTTGCTTACTGGAACGCTTGGTCACATAAAGAAATGAAACTTTATGGATAACAACTTTGTTTGTAACACCATTTCAGGGTGAATGGTGTCTAGCTAAGTCCCTGGGGAGCCCTTGATTCAGCTTAACACATGGTATCTGAGAAATGTCAGACCAGATCTTTATTGTCAATTCCAGTCTGCCCAGAAGATTTTCGGCGGGGAAGTGAAGAACCACATTCTGCTGTTCATGGATAAAGGAGAAGGCTTCGATGAGAAGGTTGAAATTTTCAAGTCTGTTGCCAAGGACTTCAAGGGAAAGGTGAGATCATATTATTGAGGGGGTATTAAAAAACATGTTTAGTTAGATCATACACCATGAAATTGTCAAAGATTGCATAATTCAAAAGAGGAGGTATTAACCCCAAACTGTTTGTTTGCAGTTGTTAGTTCTTTGCTTTCCGTGGCATGCAGGGGTCTATATGAGTGAAACAACTTTGAAGTTTGTTTGTTGTTTAACGCTGCACTCAGCAATATTCCAACTATATGACAGCGGTCTGTAAATAATCAAGTCTGGACCAGACAATCCAGTGATTGTCATCATGAGCATCGATCCACACAATTGGGATAGAATGACATGCATCAACCAAGTCAGCGAGCCTGACAACCCGATCCTGTTGGCCGCCTCTTACGACAAGCGTAGTCGCCTTTTACGGCAAGCATGGGTTGCTAAAGACCTATTCTACCTGGATCTTCACTGAATCTTCACTGAATGCCCGGGTTTGATTTTCCCCCATGGTTGCAATGTGTGAAGCCCATTTCTGGTGTCCCCTGCCATGATATTGCTGGAATATTGCTGAAAGCTACATAAACAGCTCACTGACTCACTCATCTCGCCTTTGATTGCCATGTGACACACGTTAAACCGATACTGAAATGTTGTATCCTTGATGGCAGGTACTGTTCATCACCATTGACACAGCGACCGAGGACAACGCCAGGATCCTGGAGTTCTTCGGTCTGAAGAAGGAAGAGACACCCGCAATCCGCCTCATCTCACTCAAGGAAGATATGACAAAATTCAGACCCCAATCGGATGAAATTTCCGAGGAATCAGTTCGATCATTTGTCCAGTCATTTGTTGATGGAAAATTGAAGGTACTAGAAAAATGTGTTTAAGTATTGTGATATGTTTTAGGTATAATTTCATACTTTGTGCTTAGATTGGTCAAAGAAGAAAAAAGTAGAATGAAACACTTTCCCCACAACACAAGTTATATTTTATAAAACTATAGGGAATTGTATTGAACCAATCTCAGTTGGATCTTTATTGTGTTAGTGTAAAGATACATATGTGGATGATGTACTACTCAAAAGAAGTTAAACAAACCCGATTATTTTATGACTATAGTTTAACTGTCATGTCACAGATTAACTATAGTCATGAAAAATCGAGTGTATACATTGATCATTTTCCCATGATGAGTTAGTTGCAACAACATAAGTGTATCCAGTTATTAAATATTCTATCTGAAACTCTGGTTATTAAGATTGACTTAGGTTTGAGATAAATATGCTCTGCTGAGTTCCGTCCCATAAACGTTAAGAAATCTATGATTGTGGGTTTGAATCCAGTTTCAAGCATGTCCAACTGAAGGGTCTTATTGAGATAACTGGTTTATTTCAGCCACATCTGATGTCCGAGGAAATTCCAGCAGACTGGGATGCCAAGCCAGTTAAGGTTCTTGTCGGCAAGAACTTTGCAGAAGTTGCACGTAACCAAGAAAAGGATGTTTTTGTTGAATTTTGTAAGTATGATATGCCATTGCAGTGCTTAATGTTCTTGTTGGACTTGAGCTATCTTCTCCTGATGTGCCCTGTTAGATAGATTTGTATTGTGTTAACCTTTATAGCTTTGTCCTGGACCTGATTTAGTCCGAGTATTGATGGAATGACAACTGTTTCAGATGCTCCATGGTGCGGACACTGTAAGCAGCTTGCTCCCATCTGGGACGAACTCGGCGAAAAGTTCAAGGACAATGACAAGGTCGTTGTTGCCAAGATGGATTCTACAGCGAATGAATTGGAAGATGTAAAAATTCAGAGCTTCCCAACATTAAAGTTTTTCCCAGCTGGAAGTGATAAGGTAACTCACATGATCCTTAGGTGATACGTTGAAATGTTAATGTTACAGTTGTTACATAACTTGTCTTGAAATGTGTTCCGTTTGTATCTACTCATGGAAGTTTTAATTGAGTTTCTTGTGATATGCATGATAAAACATGAACAGTTTTTGAGTGCATATGATATGACTAGGGCATATGGCATTGTGGTTGTCGGAGTAAAGTAAGCATTGACTTAAAAAAAATAGTTGTGTAAACTTGTGTAGTGACTGAAGTGATCTGCAACACTATTTTGATAACTTTCCAGATAATTGATTACAATGGAGAGCGAACATTAGAAGGCTTCAGCAAGTTTTTGGAAAGTGGTGGCAAGGAAGGTGCTGGACCTGCTGATGAGGTAAGTGAAATCCACAGGTAGACATGGACATATCTAAGGCTGGGAAGGGTAACTCGGGTCGGGTGGGTACTGAGTAGGACCTGGGTACCCATAGAAATACCCGGACCCATGGTTAGTCACATGATATATTGCTTTATGGCAAAAATGATCTAGAACTCTATGGTTACACTACAAGTCACTAATATTCACATTCTTTCTGACTTTATATCGTTTGCATAAAGATAAAACTTCAGTGTATGCATGACCAGATCGGTTTATACGTGTATCTAAATACATTTCGTCATGAGTACAGTCAAACATTTCCAAAACGGACATTTTGTACCTATCTCTTGAGACCTACAGCGGGTACCAGGGTCGGGTAATAGGGGGGGGAGTGGATACCCGGATAGTTAATTTGGACTCGTCCAAGCCCTAGACACATCAGTCCCATCAAACTTGATGTCATATATCTTGACTTACTCATAGCATCATGCCATTAATGCAGAAACTACAATGTTGAAGAGAATTCTGTTTTGTTATTTTATGTTTATTTGCATTGGGATATGTGCACAACAGAAAGTTACACCTGGTCATCAATTTGTGTAAGGGGCGGTTGGGTAGCACAGGGGTTAAAGTGTTCTTTAGTCAGGTTCAATATCGCACATGGGTACTATGTGTGAGTGTCATTCTGTTTGTTGTTTAACGCCTCACTCAGCAATATTCCAGCTATATGATGGTGGTCTGTAAATAGTCTTGACCACACAATCCAGTGATTGACATGAGCATCTATCTACGATGACATACATCAACCAAGTCAGCAAGCCTGACCACCCGATCCCGTTAGTAGCCACTTTTACAGCAAGCATGGGTTGCTGAAGACCTGTTCTAACGCGGGTCTTCATGGGTTGAGTGTCATTCTGGGTGTGTCTGAACTGATGCTGAAGGCAGTGTAGACGTGTCTTGTCTATCCCTAACTGAGTGGAGTTGTCATTGCTGTTTTGTTGTTTCAGGAGGCTGAGGAGGAGGAGGAGGAGGAGGAAGAAGAAGGCGCGGACCAGGACCATGACGAACTTTAATCAGTGTGCAAGTTAGGCTCATTATTCTCAGTGGCGGGGAATTACTCTCGTTAGCTAAGATATCATCTCATAAATACCATCAATATCATCTTCCATTATCATCTACTCCATGGCTGCAGTGTCAGCGGTTCCAGCATTGTACACGATCTATGTAAAGAGCCCCTGCCACCATTATGGCACTGTGTGCGGGCGGGCGGTCTGTGACCAGTTACGAACTCTGTTGTTGGTGCAAGGGTGAAAGTGTCTACCATGTGTGAATTAGAATTTAAGGAACATTCCTTAACTTAAACGGTTTTTTTTCCGAGAAGTGTCGTGAAGTTTTATTATGCCAGGGGACTGTTATCAGGGAGGACTTTCTCACAAAAAGAATATTTTACAAAAACTATTAAATCATAGTTTGTCTTATGTTTTAGAGGACTTTTACTCGTTTAGTTTGTTACAGATTCCATGTTGTCTCATGGAAGGCTTTGTAAATATTTTTGTTAGATTCTCGGAGAGGTCTGGGAATGTACCTTTCTTGTCTCTTATGAAAGCCTTGTTGAATCGTGCCAGTTAACCGAAGTCTCGTTAGTTACTTTGTGAAATCAAGTCATAATACCTTATAAGTTATTTGAAAATCTGAAAACTGTAGGTCTCGATACAATTTGTATAAACCATCCATCTTTAAATTTAACACATGCTCATCTTTTTGTATAATTAAGATGGAAATAAAAAGATAAATTAACAGGTGTGTTGTATTCTGTCGATGTGGTCGTCAAGCATCTTTCCTGAAGCCACATTAAGTCAACATCTTGGAGAAGGAAATGCAACAGATCCAGCTGAAGCTGGTTGTTCACATGAATGTTGGAAGTCCTCGGTGGGATAGAATTCAGTTGTCTTCAAGTCTGCAATATATGGATGGTTTGATGGCCAAGGCTGTCATACCAAAAGACCTTAAATGATAGTACTTGTCACTCTGCCTGGTGCTCATCATGAAGGGGACAAAACAAGGACTGACTGGCTCAGTACTAGTATACTGTGTCTGAGTGGGGTGTTGAGGTTAAAACTGCAGACGCTCGCTCACTCACTTAGCTTATAAGTGCAGTGAATCATATTAATCTTGAATGCAATGTTAAACACCATTTGAAAAAGTGACCATACCTACTGTAGAAACCATGATTTGACCCATGTCTGTTATACCTGTTGGTTCCACTGTCATGTTCAGCATTTACAACACAGACTGTTTGGGGCTTTCTGTCACATTAAACTGACATGTTTCCTGATGTACCAGAACTGTTCAAAGACTCAAAGTTAAATGACACTTTTGCAAGGATCGCACGTTCCCATGATTACATGAAAAATATAATTTGAAGTTGCCTGCAAACGGCTTGAAAGTTCCCTTGATTGGACAGAACCTCGGGGGCAACAGTTTAATTCAGGTACTTGTGACTTTTCAGTAAGGGAGCATCCATTTAATTTTTATAGGGGTGGAAGAGAAGATTAAATGAATAGTTTGTTGGCAGTGGTAAAGCAAAATTAAATTTTTGTGTGTGTGTGTAAAAACAAATTGTGTTACTAGTGAAAATGAATACAGTAAACTACGGTTATAACGAACTCAAAGGGACCACTAATTTTAATTCGTTATAAGCAAATGTATGGAATATATACAGCAAATAGACAGGACCAAAAAAATAGTTCGTTATATCTGTGTTTGTTATAACCGTAGATTACTGTAGATTGTTCGATGCTGCTCAGTAAATAGTTTGTTGGATACAGCTGGGAACATAATAGATAAGTCTCAACAAAAAATCCCCTCTCGCTCCCCCACATAAATGAAGGGATACTCCCTTAAATATTGTATAGTTTTAACCAGTGTGCTTTCAAGGTCAAGGTTAATTCATGTGAAATGCTGGTGAATGCTGCAACCATGGTACAACTAAAAACTGAATATTGTATGTGTTGTTATGCAGACATGTTAAAACTGGTGTGCACACTGTAAAAAAAACAAAAAACCCAAAGAACAGTAATGTCAGACTATTTATGGTTCACACTAAAATACGATTTCCGTTTCATCATTCTGCACAATAATGCACCACAAGTCCCTCCTATTCTATTGTGGGCCAATAAGAAAACAGCAGTCACTAGGCATGGCGTATTCTATTATTTTGGCTTTACGGAAATAAATACATTGATAAACATTTGCTTGGTTAGGCAATCAAATGCCACAAAATCACAGCTATCTTTTCAAATAAACACTTTTTACAATGAAAACATTGTTTATTCTTCATCATGAATGCCAACAATATTCACAAATATTTAGCTTCATATTCATCAGTTACAGATGTAACAAAACCAGTTTCTCAATAAATTGTCATTACTTGCAATTACTGAGCAATAACAAATACGACTCGATAAACATTCGGCTCTTTCAGCCATTATTGTACTTGATTGTATCCATTGAGTAGATGATTAGATCAGACTAATATACAAAAGTTTCAAGCAACAAGACAGTTGAAAACCCTGTGATGACACCAATATCGTGTTACAGTATCAATGGTAACATCAAATATTAGCACTACGTTCAGAAAGACTATGGTCTCACTGTAAAAGCCATTTTGGTCGAGGAGACTGGTAAGAATATTGCACAATATCCAAGAGTGACAGCCACAACATCCTCATCAGGTCCTGGAAACTAAGGTTAAGGAAATCAGGTTAAGGAAATGGTACACGACCCTGGAACAGCCAAACCACTCTCAGCATCAAACTTGAGAATCTATGCACAACTAACAGAAAATCAGCTAGGTGATGGTTGAGAGCGACTGTTCCACTTCTTAATGCAGCCATCATGGTTAGAAAGGGCTCTCATCTTCAAGCGACTTTTGGCACTCAGCTTTTCTTTTATTCTTTTATTACCCATTACTGATTCGAACAAACAAGGTTTCCTTAGGAGATACTCCACACTGAATAAGAACTGTTTTACTGGTGTGGAAGGTTGAGGCAGCCCTGAGGTAAGGTAGCGAGTTGGTAGCTGGTGTAGGTGACAACATCACAGTTGAAGATTGAGGTGTTTTGGACTAGTTTTGGACTAGGAAGTAGCATGGTTGTGTGGGCCTGACCTGACGACGAGTGGGTTGGACAGACGGAATATATTTGGCAGCATGCTGCTGATGTTGGTGAACATTTCCTCCGACAGGCCCTGAAACCAGGAACACGTAAACTGCTGAATCCTGTATGTTTGTTTGTTGTTTAATGCCGCGCTCAGCAATATTCCAGCTCTATGACGTCAGTCTGTAAATAATCGAGTCTGGACCAGAAAATACTGTGATTGACATCATGATCATCGATCCACGCAATCGGTATACGATGACATGCATCAACCAAGTCAGCGAGCCTGACTACCCAATCCCATTAGTGGCCTCTTACGACAAGCATGGGTTTTTAAGATCATTCAATGATGTAACAGAGTCTGAAGATGGGAAGTCGAGCTGTCCTATATCTACCACGCCCACCTGCAGCGCCACCTGCAGCGCCACCTACCTGAGGGACCAGGAACTGGATGGTGCGGGACTGCTGACTGCTGTAGGTGGCCATCTCAATCATAAATCCCTTGACACACTTAAACAGCAGCTCAGCTCGCTTCATGCACCAGGGTATAGTCATCTCCTGTAGGTGACAAGGTACAGAAATATGTAGGTCTACACAGGATGGGTGGGAGTGTTTTGTGCTTTGAACAATATTTCTGTTGTATCATTCCAAGTCAGCTTGATGTTGGAGGAAAGGATGAAGCAGGTCTTGGTGTTTAAACTTAGGTGAAGGTTATGGTGCTGACAAACCAATGACCAGAATCAGGACCAATCTGGGATTCAAACACACAATCACAGGATCCTGGCAAGACCAGGGGACACAATTTGGCACAGTGAATAGGTGTACTTAGACAACAGAGCCAGCTGTGCCCGGTTTGATTGGTAAATATTGCTAATGCATATTAGTGAAAATGTTTATGAAAAATAACAGTCAAAGGGAGGTAATTTGAAATTTCCATGGCTCTTGAAACATGCATGCAACATAATTATGTCATCGTCTGATGGTTTGATATTTAAGTCTACAGTACAGCCAGTCAGCCCAGCCTGTGACTGATGGTAGACATGATGTAATGATTGATCCCACTGTCATTTCACTGCAATTGTTGATTGCCCAATACTGATAAAAATAATAGATACACTCTGAAAGTGAAGGATTTCAAAATATTGCGTGCTCTGTGCTCTGAAACTTAAACGGAAATACGTTCTTCAAAACAACATTTTTTGTGTTTTTCTTCTTTTTTCAAAAGTAGCCAGAATTTGTGATCAAGTGTGAAATTTTTCATTTTCGTGGCCGCTGCATACTGAAAGAGTCTCTGTCCAAAAGCGGGGAAGTGTCTGTGAAATAATGGAGAATAAGGGTAAGCATGGTTTTATGCTTCTTTTAGTGATATTCCAGCAATATCATGCCAGGGGACACCAGCAATGGGCTTCACATGTTGTACCCATGTGGGGAAATGATCCCCCTCCTTTGGCGTGACCAGCAAGTGATGTAACCACTGGGCCACCCCACCAAGCCAGGAATAGGGAGAAGCATATTGTCATGAGAACCGAGTACATATGACCGTGTGCCAGGTACGGAAAGCTTGGAGAGATGGGAAAGTGCAGCAATGAAGACCTTGAACTCCATTCTGGCAGGGGCTGGAAACCTGTGTAAATGTTTCAGGACTCGTGTGATCAAACCGTTCGGTTCTGGTGACAGTTTTGGTTGTGCTGCTTTGAATATATAATTGCAGGTGCTGAAGCTGCTGTTGGTTGATTTCGGTGTTGCTATAGTTACAATCCCCCTAATGTGTCCTGCAATGTGTGAGTAGGGTTGAATCACAGCATAGAAATAGATCTGATACTTCAGCCAAAAACTTCGTACATCAGTGTTATGAGTACTGGCCTATAGGGTGTAATGGCTGATCACACTTATGATGCATAGCAATTGTCCATGGTCAAGAGAGAGTGAGTGAGTTGGGTTAAATGCCACTTTGAGCAGTATTCCAGTTATACATTTATCACAGCACTCAAATGGCAAGACTTTGATAAAAAATTAAAATTTAACTAATGACCATCAATGCTGCATCACACTCTCAATAGAAACGTTACTGTTAATCATATTTTTTTCCATGTGTTTTGATCCAAAAGTACCTTCTTAAAGAGATTATTTGTCAATTATAATTCAAATGTCAGACAATAATCACCTCCCTTACCCTCTTCCCATGCTATCTGGTGAATGAAGGGCTTGATGGGCATGTTAAGCTATGCAGTCATGTCAAATAAAACAAGGAAATCTTATGTGCTAATGAAACCTTATATACTATTGATATAGTTGTACCTCTATTCTAATGCTGCTACAAGTGTTTCAACTATCACGATACTCTTGCAATAGCGAAACTGCCCTGGCTAGTCATGCAAAGGGAGACAACTCACCTCAGACATCTCATGCGCCAGAAGGAGTGGTATGGTGAGGGTGTGGATGTTGTGGCGGAAACACAGTTTGATGATGTTCCTGATGCTGAGGATGACCGGATGCCGAGATGTGATGTCGGTAGATCGCACGCCATCGTCACACACGAGGTGGAATGCTGTGTGAACTTCAGACAGGTTGGAGTGCTTGCTGATGTACACGTCACCAACCTGCAGCTTGTTGCCAAGGGTCTTGTCCTGAATACACAACACAAATAGGTTCAGTTCCCACGGCAGAATCAGTCCGCGAAATAATGTCAACTCTGGCTTTACAACTAAAACTCAGGATTCCACTGATTGGTCAATATCCCAACACAGGGTCTCACAGATTGGTCAGTTTCCCCTTAGAGTGAAAACTTAATCAATCCCTTGGAATGAAATTATTTAGACAAAGATAAAATTGTCTTACCTGGCTACACTTCAGCCACTACATGCAGGTGTCAATGTCTTACCTGGCTACACTTGAGCCACTACATGCAGGTGTCAATGTCTTACCTGGCTACACTAGAGCCACTACATGCAGGTGTTAATGTCTTACCTGGCTACACTGAAGCAACTACCGGTACATGCAGGTGTCAATGTCTTACCTGGCTACACTAGGGCCACTACATGCAGGTGTTAATCTCTACCTGGCTACACGAGAGCCACTACATGCAGGTGTTAATGTCTTACCTGGCTACACTAGAGCCACTACATGCAGGTGTTAATGTCTTACCTGGCTACACTGAAGCAACTACCGGTACATGCAGGTGTCAATGTCTTACCTGGCTACACTAGGGCCACTACATGCAGGTGTCAATGTCTTACCTGGCTACACTACAGCCACTACATGCAGGTGTTAATGTCTTACCTGGCTACACGGAAGCAACTACCGGTACATGCAGGTGTCAATGTCTTACCTGGCTACACTAGGGCCACTACATGCAGGTGTCAATGTCTTACCTGGCTACACTACAGCCACTACATGCAGGTGTCAATGTCTTACCTGGCTACACTACAGCCACTACATGCAGGTGTTAATGTCTTACCTGGCTACACTACAGCCACTACATGCAGGTGTTAATCTCTACCTGGCTACACGAGAGCCACTACATGCAGGTGTTAATGTCTTACCTGGCTACACTAGAGCCACTACATGCAGGTGTTAATGTCTTACCTGGCCACACTAGGGCCACTGCATGCAGGTGTCAATGTCTTACCTGGCTACACTACAGCCACTACATGTAGGTGTTAATGTCTTACCTGGCTACACGAGAGCCACTACATGCAGGTGTTAATGTCTTACCTGGCTACACTAGAGCCACTACATGCAGGTGTTAATGTCTTACCTGGCCACACTAGAGCCACTACATGCAGGGGTTAATGTCTTACCTGGCTACACTACAGCCACAACATGCAGGTGTTAATGTCTTACCTGGCTACACTTGAGCCACTACATGCAGGTGTTAATGTCTTACCTGGCTACACTAGAGCCACTACATGCAGGGTTTAATGTCTTACCTGGCTACACTACAGCCACAACATGCAGGTGTAAATGTCTTACCTGGCTACACGAGAGCCACTACATGCAGGTGTTAATCTCTACCTGGCTACACTAGAGCCACTACATGCAGGGGTTAATGTCTTACCTGGCTACACTACAGCCACAACATGCAGGTGTTAATGTCTTACCTGGCCACACTACAGCAACTACATGCAGGTGTTAATGTCTTACCTGGTCACACTACAGCCACTACATGCAGGTGTTAATGTCTTACCTGGCCACACTAGGGCCACTGCATGCAGGTGTTAATGTCTTACCTGGCCACACTAGAGCCACTACATGCAGGTGTTAATGTCTTACCTGGCCACACTAGGGCCACTGCATGCAGGTGTCAATGTCTTACCTGGCCACACTAGAGCCACTACATGCAGGTGTTAATGTCTTACCTGGCCACACTACAGCCACTACATGCAGGTGTTAATGTCTTACCTGGCCACACTAGAGCCACTGCATGCAGGTGTCAATGTCTTACCTGGCCACACTAGAGCCACTACATGCAGGTGTTAATGTCTTACCTGGCCACACTTGAGCCACTACATGCAGGTGTTAATGTCTTACCTGGCCACACTACAGCCACTACATGCAGGTGTTAATGTCTTACCTGGCTACACAACAGCCACTACATGCAGGTGTTAATGTCTTACCTGGCTACACTACAGCCACTACATGCAGGTGTTAATGTCTTACCTGGCCACACTACAGCAACTACATGCAGGTGTTAATGTCTTACCTGGCCACACTACAGCCACTACACGCAGGTGTTAATGTCTTACCTGGCCACACTAGGGCCACTGCATGCAGGTGTCAATGTCTTACCTGGCCACACTAGAGCCACTACATGCAGGTGTTAATGTCTTACCTGGCCACACTTGAGCCACTACATGCAGGTGTTAATGTCTTACCTGGCCACACTACAGCCACTACATGCAGGTGTTAATGTCTTACCTGGCTACACAACAGCCACTACATGCAGGTGTTAATGTCTTACCTGGCTACACTACAGCCACTACATGCAGGTGTTAATGTCTTAACTGGCTATACTAGGGCCACTACATGCAGGTGTTAATGTCTTACCTGGCCACACTTGAGCCACTACATGCAGGTGTTAATGTCTTACCTGGCTACACTAGGGCCACTACATGCAGGTGTTAATGTCTTACCTGGCTACACTACAGCCACTACATGCAGGTGTTAATGTCTTACCTGGCCACACTAGGGCCACTACATGCAGGTGTTAATGTCTTACCTGGCTACACTACAGCCACTACATGCAGGTGTTAATGTCTTACCTGGCCACACTACAGCCACTACATGCAGGTATCAATGTCTTACCTGGCCATCACTGGAGCTGCTGCCTGTACTCTTAATGCTGATCTTGTCTACGTCTTCAGCAACCCTCCGCATGACACGGATGTCGTTGCATTTTGTGACTTCCTGTTCAATGAGGAGCATCTGATGATCCATGTCCGAGAAATGGAAGTCTGTTGACTGTTCACTCACCCGAGCAAAATCTGCAGATGGATAGTAAAGATAAAACACTTGACAAAAATATCCTTGACACTTATGTTGTAAAGATAATTATTCATTTCTGAAAATTATAAGTAATTCTTAACATATGCTTGATATTATGATAAATATAAATTTTATTCATAAAGAATCTTGAACCCATCTCATTCACTCTTTAAAAAATCATTATTCCCTATATGTATTAATTTGCCATGAAATAAAATGTCTTTGAGCCAATTCCTGCAATATCTTAATCAGTAAAAAACTGTGGTCTGCAATAATAAAAGTAGTGAATTATCTTCAAATCCAACAAACTAAACTGAATCAAGAAATTTGTAATCCCCCATTTGAAGCATGTCCTTTGTATTGAAAGAGTAATAGTGTTTGAAACTAAGAAGGGTTCCTTGTCATAGACCTAGGCACATTTCAAGATTCTTGTAATAACCTCTTCCACATTGATGGCACTTTCTGTTTCATTACCACTATCATGTAGTAAGAATGTAAGGGGGAGGTTGGTTGGTTTTTAGTTCATCTGCAATCTTGAACCAATCTGATCAAATAAACAAAAAGGTAAATTCATCTGGGAAATATGGACAGTCGTAAACCTTTTTAAAATTCACTATGATTGCATTCCCAAAGACATAAACAAAGGTATAAACATGGCTGCGCCCACACTGGTGGCAGCAATGTTACAGGGAGTGTAACAAAGGTGTCACACGCTGTGAAGAGCTTGGTCAGGTATGTAGAGTAACCTCCCTTCCCCTGTCGGACTGTCAAGTGTTACGAAAGAATTCATGAAAAGAAAGAACAAGGTGTACTAAAGAACGTCAGTGAGCACGAAAGGACGTTGACAATAAAGAACGCTGGAGATGGCTAAAGATGGCGCTGCAACTTGTAAAATATTCTGAGTTAAATTGGCTTATTCCGCTGTGTATACAACTACATGCTGAGGTGCACAATGTGTTACGTCATTCCTCCAGCACCCACCATCTGAGGTCTGACGTCACACACACACACACACATAATTAGTACATGTAATTAATATATAACTTCAGTAAACACTAATTTGACGCTTGCTGCAACACGAGGGTGTTATGATGCCGAGTTATGTTTCAGACGCACATTTTCATAACATGTGAAAAGTGTACGTTGTGTGAGAATTGTGCTCTTGTGGCACTGTGTCAACCTCAGACAATAAAATTACCCAGAGATGTAACATGTTTAATTTCCTGACTGATTCTGTGGTGTAAATGTAACGGCAAACATTAAACCGATTTGAAAAAGAGACACTGCTAAGTGTTGTCCGAGATTTTGTAATGCGTAAAAAAAAAAACCCAGCAAATGTCGCCACATATTATCCTACACTGATATAAGGACTGTGCGACAATTTGTTTTATTTAACAGCTTACATCTCTGAATAATTTTATGGTCTGAGGTTGACACAGTGCCATGGAACGCAATTCACGCACAACGTTCACTTTTCATATGTTATAAAAATGATGTAATACATTGTGCATGCAGTCATCATATACACAGCGGAACAAGCCGATTAAATTCGGAATGTTTTACAAATTGCAGTGCCATCAGGCATTTTTTATTGTCAACACATTGTTCTTTCTTTTCATGTGACGTCTTTTTGTATAAACATTTGACTATTAATATTGCGGACTCTTGACCTTCATTTCAACTTTGTATTTGTCTGACCGGCGTCTGTTTGTTTTGTATTTTGACCTTTATCAGTAACATTTAATAATTTATTTGTAACATTTGATTATTATTGCGAACTTTTGACCTTTATTTCAACTTTGTATTGCCGCCCATACAACTGACCATATTTCCCAGACGAAGTTACCATATTTCCCAGACGAAGTTACCTTTTTGTTTGTTTGATCAGATTGTTTCAAGATTGCAGACGGATGGAAAATCAAATACATGATAGTTGTATCACAGTTGGGAGCTTTGAGTGGTGGCAGCGATAGTATTGAGAGCTCTGCGAATGGGCTATGAGGAGCTTGGTCAGGTAGGTAGAGTAACCTCCCTTTCCCTTCAGACATGTAGAGTAACTTCCCTTCCCCTGACATGTAGAGTAACCTCCCTTCCCCTGTCAGATGTCAAGCTCCTCACAGCGATAGTACGTTCCCGGAGCTCTCTATACTATCGCTGCCACCAGTCAAAACTCCCCACTGTGAATAGTTGGCCACAACCATGCTTGGAGTTGAACTCGCAATCGAATGACCGTTATGTTTACAAACAAGTGACGACTGTCGTGACGCCGAATACACTTATCGCTGCTAAATTACTTTCTTCGTTTGTCAATTTAAATTTCTGTTTCATTAAAACTATCGTGTTATTGATATAGTAAGAATGTAAGAGAGAAGTTGGTTGATTTTCCGTTAGTCTGCAAACTCGAACCAATCTGATTATTAAAACAACAAAGTAAATCATCTGGAAAACATGGTCAGTCGTAAACCTTTTCAAATTGAAATATGATGGCATTCCCAAAGACATAAACAAAATTATAAACGTTACTACATATGGGGTTTGAGGGCAAATTTCAAGATTCTTGTAATGGCCGCGCCCACACTGGTGGCAGCGATGTTACCGAGAGTGTAACGAAGGTGTCACGCGCTGGGAAGGAGCTTGGTCAGATGTATGCAGTTACCTCTCTTGATCCCGGTGAAGGTGTTGAGTCTGTTGTCCACCAGGAGGATCATGGCACATAGTGAGTCGGAGTAAAGGGACATCGCTGTCTGCAGCCGCTGTGGCTCTGGGATCATTACACCGCTGAAGACAGATAGGGGACAATGTAGACAGATCACAATAACTGTGTCTGGGATGTGATACATGATGAGAGATACATGATCACACTGCTGTAGATGATGGTTTACCAGTTGGGGTCCATCTGGTCCATCTGGTCCTCTGTTCTTAGGGAGTGAGTAAGTGAGATGCTGCCTTGAACAATATCTCAGTCATATCAGGGCATGTCAGCTGTGTGACACAGTTTAACCTCTTCGGTGAATGCAGGAGTATGGTATGGTTTGACATGATTTGGGTTTATCTGGGTTCAAACATGACCCATGAATCTGACCAGCAACTCTGCACAGTAAACTGGTGTTTCAGTAACGGAGAAAATATATTCTTATTATTATCATGATGAATTTGTTACCCTATTGTGTGTGGTCTGTGCCTGCAAAGGTCAAGGACATCCGTGCAGAGCAGACGTAGATTATGGGTGGTTTTCATCTGTGCCCCTGCAAAAAAGACAGCACTGATGTAGAGCAGCACATATCGAACCTTGACATTATTTAGTTTTTCAAAACACGACTACTGTCTGAATGAAGGATTCTCAAGAGCCTTAAATATATCACTGGTGGCAGGACACAATGATGCTTGGGTACGTCACTTGGCTACCGTACTGCCCAAATGAAAGAGTGAGTGAATTGTGTTTAATGCTGCTATGAACAGCAGTTTCAATTGTACTGTGAGTGTCAGCTGAACGTGAGAGGAAAACCCCAAATGATCCCAGTTGTAGGTATATACCACCTGGTATAACTCAGTCCAGTTAGTGTGCGCCAAGCTCCATGCAGTGTCACAGGCTCAATGCACCGACAAGCATGATGTGTTTTCAGATTGTGGATGTTCTTGTTATTCGACACCTGAAACTTTACTCACATTGCTTTAAGATCATTGAAAACAGACATGGCTACAGTGACTCACCGAGATGGATAGTGAAGGACTCCTCGAGTCGGGTAGATGGCGCCTGCCTCTCCTCCTCCTCCGCTGCAGGCAGCGCCGTTGACATGTTCCTCAATCTCTGTCTGCAATCAATGCATATAATGCTAATATGATAAACTGTTCCTCAATCACTGCAATCATGGCAAACAAACGATCTTCTCATACCTCCATGTCAGAATGTTTTGTTTGTTTGTTTGTTTGTTGTTTAACACCACACTCAGCAATATTCCAGCTATATGACAGCAGTCTGGACCAGACAATTCAGTGATTGACATCATGAGCATCGATAAGCATGATACGATGACATGTATCAACCTAGTCAGCGAGCCTGACCACCCAATCCCTTAAGTCGCCTCCTACGACAAGCATAGTCGCCTTTTACTGCAAGCATGGGTTGCTGAAGACCTCTTCTACCCCGGATCTTCACGGGTCCGATGTCAGAATGATGAGATCTGATTGGTCCACCTGATCTAGATCAAATATGATGTATCATGCCTTGGTGGGGAATAGATTTCTCAGCAGGAGAAGAAATCCCTTATACCCCGCCATGAGTAAGTTCGTCTGAGGGGCAAAATAAATCCCTTATTACCCCCGCTTCAAAGCAAAAAGCTGTACGCTTTTTCCCAAGTCAACGGAAGTCATGTGACATAGTGTAAGTTAATTGCAGCTCAATTGAACAGTTGTTTTCTATCAATTTTTGATTTGTTTGAATTCTTTTACAATATATAAACATGTCGGTAAGACAAATTCATTGTAGCAGGATTACTCGGAGTACATGGGGTTTAGGTTTTAACCCTCGTTAGGTTTTATACCACTCGCCTCGCAGGACGCATAAAAGCCCATATATCTGAGTGATCCTGCTACAACTTATAATAAATTATACAGTTCCTCAATCACTGTCTGCAATCATGGCAATCAAACGATCATATGACATTTACATTGGTGAAATCGACCCCACATCTATATTTATCAGCACAACTTTGGCTTAGATCCAGATTCTGCAAACCAGACGAGTTCACTTATTGTGGAAGCATATGACATCACCCACTGTATCGTGGCCTGACAGCATGTGCGGAACTGTGACAGCAGATGTACAGAGATGAAGCGCTATGGAAATGACTGATAATACTTCTATTTTACAATGTCAGTAAACAGTCTGTGTTTTCAGACTTGTAGATGTAAATAAGTCCTAGATACCTGGACATTTCCAACACTACTCAACAACATCCAAAACTGGAAAACACGTAACAATATCACAGATGTGTAGACGATGAAAAGACAGTTACCATAGTAACTCATTATTCCTTGGTTACTTGAAATTCATATTCTTGGGTAAATAATCAAAGATGGATGACAGATGCAAGTTTGGTCGTACAGTGATTATACCAAGTCTATTATTGGAAAGGACAATTTGGACGAGAGGACATTTTATGGAGACATTCACACTATTTGTCATTGACTACTGAATCCAACTATTCATCTACAAGAACAGGAGTTGTGGCAGACAGACTCACTGGTAGGCGGGAGCGCCATTGTTGGAGGTGGAGTCTTCGTGCACCTTCATGACCCACTCCCGGTACTCGCGCTTCTGTGTCTCGTGGACGTTACTCAGCTCACTCATCCACTTGCTGTTGATCAACTGAAACAAGGTGAGGTGTGACAGGGGTGAACATCCTGTTTAAGGTTATTGCACATATATGTAGCGACAAAGGAAAAGTGAAACCTGAGAAGAACCGGATTCAAATAGGTGTTTAGCAACCAATGCATAATATGCTTTTCGTAAGAAGCAACTAAAGGGATCGGGTAGACAGCCTTGCTGACTTGGTTCATGCATGTCATCGTATCCTAATTGCGTGGATTGATGCTCATGATATCAATCACTGGATTGTCTGTTCCAGACTCAATTATTTACAGACCCCCCATCATATAGCTAGAATATTGCTGAGTGCAGCTTTAAACAACAAACAAACAAAGAAAAGTGAAATAAGAAATTGTGACACCACTAAAAAATATTGAAACAGAAACAAATAGTAAGTATTGTTCTTATTACGGATCATTTCATTCTCAACTGATTATCTGAAGCAAATTTGTATATCAATCTACTTAAAATCAGATCGAAGTTCTCGCTGCCGCTAAACAAAGATCTGAGGACATCCCATTACGGGTCACGGCAAAACGACCTTTCGCGAACTTTGACCGACCACTAAAATGAATAACAAGAAGTCGATATCAGCCAATGAGTAAGCAGCTTTCTCGAGCTTTGAGGCACTCGTTTCAACCTGGCGACTTCCATTTCAGACTACGCTTCAAAAATATGTTGACACAGTTTGAAAACTAAACAAACGAAAATTCCAGAATGTCAAATATGTGGTTGCAATTGTATGGCAGCGCTTCCTAAGTACTGGGCAACGCCTCCTCCGTTCAAATGTGTATCCCACGGAAGTGAGAGATAGACGATAATTTTGACGGAATCAGTGGTACGGGCCGTAACTGTCGTTCGGAATACCCCGTTTTAACGTTTTCGAGGTTGCATGATTAGAAAACAAATTCTGACTGTTACTTTCATGATCTGGTAAGCGATGCTTTGATTGGTCGTTCTGACGTGATCCGTAATGGGATGTCCTCAGATCTTTGTTTAGCGATAGCAGGAACTAACATCTGATTTTAATGAGATTGATTTGTATACTGGCAGTGATATAAAAAAAGTAACGGAGAATGAATATTTTGGGGTATATTTTTCGTACTTAAGACTGAGCACATGATTTCATGAAAATATTGCCAAAAATATTCATGATCCTTCAGGCTAAAAAAAAAGTCTTGGTTCTCAGACACCACCCGCATCATCATAAAGTTCACCGCACGTTTCGTTTTTATTTCCATTTAAAAAAAATACAATTAAAAATCCTCAAATACTACAAGTCCAGTATTCCAGCCCTGTATTCCAGTATTTTTACTATCAAGGAATACATTTATGTAGGGAGGCCCTTTCCCAGGTTGATTGTACACAACTGTTCATTGGTAACATACTACATGTAGTTTGAACAACCCCCCCAAAAAGACACCGCCCGCCCGCACTATATTTTAAAAAAACATTGCCTGAGAACTAATTCTTTTATTTTTTAAAGCTTTAGTTATTTTGTTCAGTATACTTCAGACCTAAAATAACTCATCCAAGACAAAGTACTGTGATCTATAAATAACACAGTCACTCCAACGTCTTAGAGCCTCATGAATGCTACCACAATGACATTATGGACAAAGCAGGACTGACCATGACTAACTGAGACTTAGTACATCAACCCTCAATGATGTCAATACGATATATATGTTACCTGGGTGTTCTCGAAATGTCTTTGTGCGAGAGTGTTGATGTCCTCGTCTGCATACGATGCACCAACATTCTTTAGTGCATGTTCCATCTCTTCCTGCTGCCTACAAAATAAAAGCACACATGAACAACATGAAACTGTCCTTTACATTCAGTGACTCGCACCTTGGTGTGATCTTGGCAGGGATCTTGACATAATAGGGGCCGCTTAAAGAGTGTCCTCAGGAATACCTAATACATGAGGGAGGTGGACCACTTGTACAGGGGAAAAGAACCACCTTCTACACAAGGGAGAAGGACCACTTTCTACACAAGGGAGACGGACCACCTTCTACACAAGGGAGACGGACCACCTTCCACACAAGGGAGACGGACCACCTTCTACACAAGGGAGACGGACCACCTTCTACACAAGGGAGACGGACCACCTTCTACACAAGGGAGACGGACCTCCTTCTACACAAGGGAGATGGACCACCTTCTACACAAGGAAGACGGACCACCTTCCACACAAGGGAGTCGGACCACCTTTTACACAAGGGAGACAGACCACCTTCTACACAAGGGAGACGGACCACCTTCTACACAAGGGAGACGTACCACCTTCTACACAAGGGAGTCGGACCACCTTCCACACAAGGGAGACAGACCACCTTCCACACAAGGGAAACAGACCACCTTCCACACAAGGGAAACAGACCACCTTCCACACAAGGGAGACTAACCACCTTCTACACAAGGGGGACAGACCACCTTCCACACAAGGGGGACGGACCACCTTTTATACAAGGGAGACGGACCACCTTCTACACAAGGGAGACAGACCACCTTCTACACAAGGGAAACAGACCACCTTCCACACAAGGGAGACTAACCACCTTCTACACAAGGGAGACGAACCACCTTCCACACAAGGGAGACGGACCACCTTCCACACAAGGGAGACAGACCACCCTCCACACAAGTGAAACAGACCACCTTCCACACAAGGGAGACGGACCACCTTCTACACAAGGGGGATGGATCACCTTCTACACAAGGGAGACGAACCACCTTCCACACAAGGGAGACGGACCACCTTCTACACAAGGGAGATGGACCACCTTCTACACAAGGGAGACGGACCACCTTCCACACAAGGGAGTCGGACCACCTTTTACACAAGAGAGACAGACCACCTTCTACACAAGGGAGACGGACCACCTTCTACACAAGGGAGACGGACCACCTTCTACACAAGGGAGTCGGACCACCTTCTACACAAGGGAGATGGACCACCTTCCACACAAAGGAGACTAACCACCTTCTACACATGGGAGAAGAACCACCTTCCACACAAGGGAGACAGACCACCTTCCACACAAGGGAGACAGACCACCTTCCACACAAAGGAGACTAGCCACCTTCTACACATGGGAGACGAACCACCTTCCACACAAGGGAGACAGACCACCTTCCACACAAATGAGACGGACCACCTTCCACACAAGGGAGACGGACCACCTTCTACACAAGGGAGATGGACCATCTTCCACACAAGGGAGACGGACCACCTTCCACACAAGGGAGACAGACCACCTTCCACACAAGGGAGACGGACCACCTTCTACACAAGGGGGACGGATCACCTTCTACACAAGGGAGACGGACCACCTTCCACACAAGGGAGATGGACAACCATCTACACAAGGGAGACTGACCATCTTCTACACAAGGGAGACAGACCACCTTCTACACAAGGGAGACGGACCACCTTCCACACAAGGTGAGACAAACCACCTTCCACACAAGGGAGACGGACCACCTTCCAAACAAAGGAGACTAACCACTTTCTACACATGGGAGACGGACCACCTTCCACACAAGGGAGACAGACCACCTTCCACACAAATGAGACGGACCACCTTCCACACAAGGGAAACAGACCACCTTCCACACAAGGGAGACTAACCACCTTCTACACAAGGGGGACAGACCACCTTCCACACAAGGGAGACGGACCACCTTCCACACAAGAGAGACGGACCACCTTCTACACAAGGAAGATGGACCACCTTCGACCTTCCACACAAGGGAGACTGACCACTTCACACAAGGGAGACGGACCACCTTCCACACAAGGGAGACGGACCACTTTCCACACAAGGGAGACGGACCACCTTCTACACAAGGGAGACGGACCACCTTCCACACAAGGGAGACTGACCACCTTCCACACAAGGGAGACAGACCACCTTCTACACAAGGGAAACGGACCACCTTCTACACAAGGGAGACGGACCACCTTCTACACAAGGGAAAAGAACCACCTTCTACACAAGGGAAAAGAACCACCTTCTACACAAGGGAGACTGACCACCTTCCACACAAGGGAGATGGACCACCTTCTACACAAGAGAGACGGACCACCTTCTTTACAAGGGAAACGGACCACCTTCTACACAAGGGAAATGGACCACCTTCCACACAAGGGAGATGGACCACCTTCCACACAAGGGAGACGGACCACCTTCTACACAAGGGAGACGGACCACCTTCTACACAAGGGAGACGGACCACCTTCTACACATGGGAGACGAACCACCTTCCACACAAGGGAGACAGACCACCTTCCACACAAATGAGACGGACCACCTTCCACACAAGGGAGACGGACCACCTTCTACACAAGGGAGATGGACCACCTTCCACACAAGGGAGACGGACCACCTTCCACACAAGGGAGACAGACCACCTTCCACACAAGGGAGACGGACCACCTTCTACACAAGGGGGACGGATCACCTTCTACACAAGGGAGACGGACCACCTTCCACACAAGGGAGATGGACCACCTTCTACACAAGGGAGACTGACCATCTTCTACACAAGGGAGACAGACCACCTTCTACACAAGGGAGATGGACCACCTTCCACACAAGGTAGACGGACCACCTTCCACACAAGGGAGACAAACCACCTTCTACACAAGGGAGACGGACCACCTTCCACACAAAGGAGACTAACCACCTTCTACACATGGGAGACGAACCACCTTCCACACAAGGGAGACAGACCACCTTCCACACCTTCCACACAAGGGAGACGGACCACCTTCTACACAAGGGAGACGGACCACCTTCTACACAAGGGAGACGGACCACCTTCTACACAAGGGAGACGGACCACCTTCTACACAAGCCATTCAGATGACCTACAACACGAGGGGAGAGGGACCAAATAGACGACGGAGACAGCCCACCTGCTACACGAGGGAGATGAACCACATACAACACCAGGGAGACGGATCAGGAGACAGATCACCTACATGGTGTCGAGATGCTGCAGGTCCTTGTCCCGCTGGTCTGTCAGGTCCTCCACCGCCAGGGCATATGTGTGTTCCAGGTTGAGCAGCGTCTCCAGGGCGGGGGAGTGGATCAGCGTGTGGTACACCTCAGAGAACACCTGGTCATTGGTCACCTCAACCGGGGTCGAGTACGCCTTCACTTCCTACAAACACATCAGTGAGTGAGTGAGTGAGTTTGGTTCATTGCTGCTTTCAAAAGAATTTCAGCAAAATAACGACCATAGGGTTCTGGCAAGTCAAATGCATGACTTTTATAGACAACAGCAGGACAGAAGGGGTATATAATTGTTTGAGTTGCCTTGGAACTACATGTATTATTGAAAAAGTCTGAGTTTCATCAATGTTTGAACTAAGTTCTAACTACTGCTTGATCTCTGGATACAGATTTAACACATTGTTTATGACTTTGATAGGCACCCCCTTTGTCAATATTGTCAGCACATGGGGAGATATTACGGCCAATATGATATGTAATATGCCATGATATATTCAAATATATAAGAACCAATAACTGTAAGTCTGCAAGGGGAAACAACTCCTGCAGTCTTATGGAAACACTGGCCACTGCCACCATATGCAGTTTGGTCTATTCCATGTTTCCCCTCAAGCTTTGATTCATAAACAACAAATGTCTCACAACATTAATACAAACATACCTTCAGGAAAACAGGTAAGACAATCAGCCAGCTCACACAGACACACACCAGTACTTGCTTGGGTCAATGTCACAAAATCACCCAGGTCACACAGACACACACCAGTACTTGCTGGGGTCATTGTCACACAATCACCCAGGTCACACAGACACACACCAGTACTTGCTGGGGTCAATGTCACACAATCACCCAGGTCACACAGACACACACCAGTACTTGCTGGGGTCAATGTCACACAATCACCCAGGTCACACAGACACACACCAGTACTTGCTGGGGTCAATGTCACACAATCAGCCAGGTCACACACAGACACACACCAGTTCTTGCTGGGGTCAATGTCACACAATCACCCAGGTCACACACAGACACACATAAGAGCTTGCTGGGGTATGATGTCACACAATCAGCTAGGTCACACAGACACACACCAGTACTTGCTGGGGTCAATGTCACACAATCACCCATGTCACACAGACACACACCTGTACTTGCTGGGGTCAATGTCACACAATTAGCCATTGGAGTGTGTTTCTGGGTTGAGAGGTCCCCTACTATGGAGGTGTATGTACTTCCCTGAGATTTGTGTACAGTGACAGCCCAAGCTAATATCCCTGGAAACTGTTTGCGTTCCACTGCAAGTTGTGCCACGAAGCAGATTTGCCTGCTGTGACCTTGAAAATGGGGTCAAGGTCACCCAAACCGACTGGTGTCTGCGTTGTCTGTATATACACAATAGTTCCAAATATGAAGACAATCCAGCGATTAGTTCTTGAGATATCGCGGCAACATCGTTTTCCAACTCCAAAAGCAGATTTGCCTACTGTGACCTTGAAAATGGGGTCAAGGTCACCAAAACCGACTGGTGTCTGCGGAGTCTGTATATACACAATAGTTCCAAATATGAAGACAATCCAGTGTTTAGTTCTTGAGATATCGCGGCAACACCGTTTTCCAACTCCAAAAGCAGATTTGCCTGCTGTGACCTTGAAAATGGGGTCAAGGTCACCAAAACCGACTGGTGTCTGCGGAGTCTGTATATACACCATAGTTCCAAATATGAAGACAATCCAGTGTTTAGTTCTTGAGATATCGCGGCAGGGGGGTCAATGTCAAACAATCAGCCAGGTCACACACAGACACACACCAGTTCTTGCTGGGGTCTGATGTGACGCAATCACCCAGGTCACACACAGACACACACCAGGTCACACACAGACACACACCAGTACTTGCTGGGGTCTGATGTCACACAATCACCCAGGTCACACACAGACACACACCAGTACTTGCTGGGGTATGATGTCACACAATCACCCAGGTCACACACAGACACACACCATAGCTGGCTGGGTATGATGTCACACAATCAACTAGGTCACACAGACACACACCAGCACTTGCTGGGGTCCAATGTCACGTAATCACCCAGGTCACACACAGACACACACCAGCACTTGTTGGGGTCAATGTCAAACAATCACCCAGGTCACACAGACACATACCAGAGCTTGCTGGGGCATGATGTCACACAATTACCCAGGTCACACAGACACACACCAGTACTTGCTGGGGTCAATGTCACACAATCACCCAGGTCACACAGACACACACCAGCACCTGCTTGGGTCAATGTCACACAATCAGCCAGGTCACACAGACACACACACACCAGAGCTTGCTGGGGTACGATGTCACACAATCAACCAGGTCACACTGCCCACCTGAGTGAAAGCCTTTGTCCATCGCTTGACAAGGTCAGCGGATGACACCTGCCCCATCTGGACCTTCTGGATAGCTTCGTCTGCTCTGGCATCACTCAGCTGATGAGTTTCCTTGGAAACAAACTCTGTGAGGGCCGCTGTCAGATCTGACAAAAGTAGTGGAGGTTTTCAAAATTTAACCTTATCCATTCACTTTTCTATTTCTGTGTCTAATTTAATATTGTGGCCTTGACTTATTGTTGTCTGATGATTGAGGAGTTGTCTGTGTGCCATGGACCAGCTGGTCCAAGGGGTTGAGGGGGTTGTCTCTGTGCCCATGGACCTGATGGTCTGAGGGGGTCGTCTGTATGCCCATGGACCTGATGGTGGAGGGGGTTGTCTGTGTGCCAATGGACGTGATGGTGAAGAGGGATTGTCTTTGTGCCCATGGACCTGATGTTGGAGGGGGTTGGCTGTGTGCCATGGACCTGGTGGTCTAGGGGGGTTGTCTGTGTGCCCATGGACCTGATGGTCTAGGGGGGCTGTCTGTGTGCCAATGGACCTGATGGTGGAGGGGGGTTGTCTGTGTGCCCATGGACCTGATGGTGGAGGGGGGTTGTCTGTGTGCCATTGACCTGATGGTGGAGGGGGTTGTCTGTGTGCCCATGGACCTGATGGTGTAGGGGGTTGTCTGTGTGCCATTGACCTGATAGTGGAGGGGGTTGTCTGTGTACCATTGACCTGATGGTGGAGGGGGTTGTCTGTGTACCATTGACCTGATGGTGGAGGGGGTTGTCTGTGTGACCATGGACCTGATGGTGGAGGGGGTTGTCTGTGTGACCATGGACCTGATGGTGGAGGGGGTTTTCTGTGTGACCATGGACCTGATGGTGGAGGGGGTTGTCTGTGTGCCATTGACCTGATGGTGGAGGGGGGTTGTCTGTGTGTCCATGGACCTGATGGTGGAGGGGGGTTGTCTGTGTGCCCATGGACCTGATGGCGGAGGGGGGTTGTCTGTGTGGCATGGACCTGATGGTGGAGGGGGTTGTCTGTGTGCCCATGGACCTGATGGTGGAGGGGGTTGTCTGTGTGCCATGGACCTGATGGTGGAGGGGGTTGTCTGTCTGCCCATGGACCTGTCGGTGTAGGGGGGTTGTCTGTGTACCATGGACCTGATTGTGGAGGGGGTTGTCTGTGTGCCCATGGACCTGATTGTGTAGGGGGTTGTCTGTGTGCCCATGGACCTGATGGTGGAGGGGGTTGTCTGTGTGCCCATGGACCTGATGGTGGAGGGGGGTTGTCTGTGTGCCCATTGACCTGATGGTGGAGGGGGTTTTGCACGGCCAAGTAACTGCTTTTGCATTTTTCAATAAACATCAATGCCCCCTTTCTTTTTATAGCCCTCAGTAGGTAGTTACGTGTATGTATAATTATGTACGAATTTCATGAAAGATTTTATTTTTGAAACTTACATTTGGTACATCAAACAATTTGATCATCAAAAGATACATTAACAATTTCTTTAAATTCAATCATGGACATTTACAACTGGTCATTGCCTCAGTACAGGGTACCAGATCAACCATCAGCTGTCTGCAATGATCAGAATATTGCTGAGTACAATTGCACCAGGAGAGTCATGCGTCTCACCGTCCTCCACATAACAAGGCAGGTTATGCGCGTTGACAAGTCGGCCCACAAACTCACTGACAGATGTTGACAGAGGAATCGTAACTGGCACAGTCACAGTAGACTTCAAGTTCTTGCTATAAAATGTATACACAAAGTCCCTCTCCTCCGTGAGGTTCTTCATTGTCAACTCGCAAGTCTGCAAAATGGAGGAAGCATATTGAGAATACTACTCATTAATTGAACATGAAAATTATCAACAAATTTAGAATCTTTCTCATTTTAATAAGGTTGATTGTTATCAACATATCTAATTTTGTCCATGAAATATTGAGTGTGAGTGGGTTTAGTTTAGTTCTAGCCAGTCAGCTTAATGTGTAGGGAAAGTTCAAACTGGTGCAGGTCTTACACATTTAGCACCTTGGTCAAAGCCATCAGTATGGTTATCTGTGGATAAATCTGGGATTCACCCCAAACCAGCAGATCCTTGCCGCTAAGGGACACAACTCTGTACAGGGAGTTGTGTCCCTTTGGACCAGTGTAAAGTGACAAGCCAGGGCACACAGCTTTCTTCTCCACGGTTGTCACACATCCAAGCACACTGAAATCATTGTCACAACTGATGCTCAGTTAAGTCAATGAGTTGACTGAATACTTAGGATACATGCCTAGTTTCATTTGAAGGTAAAACATGGAGACAGGTGTATATTGTGATATAATTGATTAGTGCACTGATTGAGATGTCGAGTAATTATGTTGTCTTGCTTGTGTCCTTGGTGAGAGCTTTCTCCAGTAACATGATTTGTTTGTTTGTTTGTTGTTTAACGCCCCACTCAGCAATATTGCAGATATATGACGGCGGTCTGTAAACAATTGAGTCTGGACCAGACAACCCAGTAATTGACTTCATGAGCATCAATCCAATTGGGATACGATGACATGCATCTACCAAGTCAGCGAGCCTAACCACCCGATCCTGTTAGTCTCCTCTTATGACAAGCATAGTCGCCTTTTAGAACAAACATGAAGGAGTTAGACCAACATAGACTCAAACTGAGTTGTGCACGTGGTCCCATGTACAGCACACAGGTCGCAAATCAGGTGAAGTTAAGCAACATTGGTCATTTACAATAAGGGGATAGATGACTGTGAGTTTCTAGGGGTTCAGCTCCTGAGAGTTTCTAGGGCTTCGGCTCCTGAGAGTTTCTAGGGCTTCGGCTCCTGAGAGTTTCTAGGGCTTTGACTCCTGAGAGTTTCTAGGGCTTCGGCTCCTGAGAGTTTCTAGGGGTTCAGCTCCTGAGAGTTTCTAGGGCTTTGACTCCTGAGAGTTTCTAGGGCTTCGGCTCCTGAGAGTTTCTAGGGGTTCGGCTCCTGAGAGTTTCTAGGGGTTCGGCTCCTGAGAGTTTCTAGGGGTTCGGCTCCTGAGAGTTTCTAGGGGTTCGGCTCCTGAGAGTGCCTAGGGCTTCGGTTCTGACCCACACTGAGGTACTCGCCACAAGCGGTGTCTCCTTAGGAAAGTAACTTTTGTGAAATAAGCCCCTGTTCATCAAACAGTGAATGGGTACCTGGTAGGATGAGATGGCAATGTGACTATTACCCTACTACTGCTTCACAGGCAGCTTGGGATGTATACTCCCCTGGGAGCTTGTAATGAAAATCGAGTGCATGCTGATCCATTGACTGGGGTGATAATGTAGTGCATTGAGCATGGTTTAAAGGGACAGTACGTCAACGGTTCTGTGTGATCTAAATCATGCAGGAAATAATTTCAGAGTGTGACATCACATGCATAATTCAATTCCCAAACCAAAGCAATAGAGCTCCGCATAGCAAAGCCAACAACACAAAGTAAACTGACCTCAGTCTTGTTACTTTATGTTGAAGGCAAGTTGAAGACAAAGCCTGTGTGTTTTTCTTATGGATGAGTTACAAAATTCTAATTTCCTGCTTGAAGCCAGTGTTTATCAAAGCCTAGATAACAATATAAAAATGGCCTGGTTGTAGGAAACCAATCACTCTGTTACCCAGAGTTCCTTTCAGCCAAGTACCTCTGTCACATCGTACACAGTTCCATCTAATTCATTTTGGATAAACATAGCTCATGAAATGTTTAACTTTCATTGAGAAAATATCCCTAAACATGAAAAAGTATTTTCAAAATTATCCTCCACATGATGTCCTCTAAGCCCTACGGTGAGCTAGCGATACAGTCACTTTGTGTTAAATTGTCATGCACCCTACTGTCGGAGTTGTAGCAGTATATCTATATCTATATACATATATACAATATGTAAGGTGTACCGAAAGGCTTGCATTAGATCTGTCTGTCTGAGCAAAGCTAAGTAAGCTTGGGGGTTGTGGGCTACTGTTTACAAAGTTTCAGAACGGTTGACGTCCTGTCCCTGGATTTGGTGCATAACACATATACACATTATTAGTAGAGTTGAAGGTGTAGGCTTAAACTTAGGCTCTACGCTAGCTACAGAATGTCTGCATCAAACAACAGACCTTATGATACAAAGTTGAATACCGTACCCACATCACCAAAGTGTTTAACCATATCACACCACACTTTGCTACATCAGCAAAAACTGCCTCATACAAAACATGGCTAACCCCCCCCATCTAGCTATCACCACCCACCTTGTCTGCCTACCCCCCCCCCCCCAACCAACCACCACTTGGCTACCCCCCTCCAAACACATGCACACTTGGCTACCATCTTCCTCCCATATGATTGCACCCTCCCATCAGACTATCCATTCATACAACTTGGCTACTCCCCTTCCAGCCACCTGGCTACCGCTTTCCCACTACCTGGCTACCCCCTTCCCACCACCTGGCTATCCCCTTCCCACCACCTGGCTATCCCCTTCCCACCACCTGGCTATCCCCTTCCCACCACCTGGCTATCCCCTTCCCACCATCTGGCTACCCCCTTCCCACCACCTGGCTATCCCCTTCCCACCACCTGGCTATGCCCTTCCCACCACCTGGCTATCCCCTTCCCACCACCTGGCTATCCCCTTGCCACCACCTGGCTATCCCCTTCCCACCACCTGGTTACCCCCTTCCCACCACCTGGCTACCTCCTTCCCACCACCTGGCTATCCCCTTCCCACCACCTGGCTATGCCCTTCCCACTACCTGGCTATCCCCTTCCCACCACCTGGCTATCCCCTTCCCACCACCTGGCTATCCCTTCCCACCACCTGGTTACCCCCTTCCCACCACATGGCTATCATCCCCTTCCCACCACATGGCTTTCCCCTTCCAACCACCTGGCTATCCCCTTCCCACCACCTGGCTATCCCCTTCCCACCATCTGGCTATCCCTTCCCACCAGCTGGCTATCCCCTTCCAACCACCTGGCTTTCCCCTTCCCACCACCTGGCTTTCCCCTTCCCACCATCTGGCTATCCCCTTCCCACCACCTGGCTATCCCCTTCCCACCACCTGGCTATCCCTTCCCACCACCTGGTTACCCCCTTCCCACCACATGGCTATCATCCCCTTCCCAACACCTGGCTACCCCCTTCCCACCACCTGGTTACCCCCTTCCCAGCACCTGGCTTTCCCCTTCCCACCACCTGGCTATCCCCTTCCCACCACCTGGCTATCCCCTTCCCACCATCTGGCTATCCCCTTCCCACCACCTGGCTATCCCCTTCCAACCACCTGGCTTTCCCCTTCCCACCATCTGGCTATCCCCTTCCCACCACCTGGCTATCCCCTTCCAACCACCTGGCTATCCCCTTCCCACCACCTGGCTATCCCCTTCCCACCACCTGGCTATCCCCTTTCCACCACCTGGTTACCCCCTTCCCACCACCTGGCTATCCCCTTCCCACCACCTGGCTATCCCCTTCCCACCACCTGGCTACCTCCTTCCCACCACCTGGCTATCCCCTTCCCACCACCTGGCTATGCCCTTCCCACTACCTGGCTATCCCCTTCCCACCACCTGGCTATCCCCTTCCCACCACCTGGCTATCCCCTTCCCACCACCTCGTTACCCCCTTCCAACCACCTGGCTATACCCTTCCCACTACCTGGCTATCCCCTTCCCACCACCTGGCTATGCCCTTCCCACTACCTGGCTATCCCCTTCCCACCACCTGGCTATCCCCTTCCCACCACCTGGCTATCCCCTTCCCACCACCTGGCTATCCCCTTCCCACTACCTGGCTATCCCCTTCCCACCACCTCGTTACCCCCTTCCCACCACCTCGTTACCCCCTTCCCACCACCTGGCTATCCCCTTCCCACTACCTGGCTATCCCCTTCCCACTACCTGGCTATCCCCTTCCCACCACCTGGCTATCCCCTTCCCACCACCTGGCTATCCCCTTCCCACCACCTGGCTATCCCCTTCCCACCACCTCGTTACCCCCTTCCCACCACCTCGTTACCCCCTTCCCACCACCTGGCTATCCCCTTCCCACTACCTGGCTATCCCCTTCCCACTACCTGGCTATCCCCTTCCCACTACCTGGCTATACCCTTCCCACCACCTGGCTATACCCTTCCCACCACCTGGCTACCCCCTTCCCACCACCTGGCTACCCCCTATCCACCACATGGCTACCACCGACCCACCATCTGGCTATCCCCTTTCCACCACCTGGCTATCCCCTTCCCACCACCTGGCTACCTCCTTCCCACCACCTGGCTACCTCCTTCCCACCACCTGGCTACCCCCTATCCACCACATGGCTACCACTGACCCACCATCCGGCTACCTACTCTCACCACTTCCCCCACCCCCCCCACACTTTTGGGTGTCATCCTTTCAAAAGCAGCCTGCAGCTTTTTGCTTCATAGCAGAGATTTATTGTCTTGCTCAGAAATCCATGTGCAGCCTGTTTTCTTCATGGTGGGGTATCAGATTTCAACATTCTGGCATGGAAGTAACATAATGAACTGCCCCTTATCCCAAGTTACAGCATATAAAGTGCTGATTGTAACAGTGTTAGTTATGCGGGAGTACTGCACTTTACCGGGCATACTTTCGCAAATTTCAATTAGTGCTGCGCAGGGGATCGAACATAAATATAAATATTAAGTACTGACAAATTTCTATTTTTCAAACAAATTTCATCCAATATCTCAAAAATATGACACTGGAAAATACAAAGTGTAGACCCATTCTTATTTATAACAAAATATGGCTGAAGGGGTCATTGTCTGCACTGTACTACAGATATGTACCCCAGGTACATTTTGGTAACACAGAAATGTACCCTGGCCAAAATCAGAATACATAAAGGTGCTCTAGGATGGATCCATTCCGTTGCAGGCCGCATTACAACATGTCTTAGATGCCAAACCGTGGTAAAATTCATCCAATCAGTACGCACTATACATTTTTCTCTCTGTATTTCCTTGCCATAAGTGGATGAGAACAGTCATACTGTTGTATTTCAGCGTGCAAAAATGTTTCCAAAATTAAGTATATAGTGATGTAAGTACAGCACAGCATCACCAAGCATGCACTCATAATGAGGAGACCAGAACTACGACGTGAACCAGTTCTGGTTACGGGTTCTGGGTACCTTTCTGTATTCTGATTTTAGCTGTACCTTCGGTACATATCTGTAGTACCCGTGCCGACAATGACCCCTTCAGCCAAAGTATGGTCAAGTACCTAAAAGGAAAACTCCGATAAATTCAAGATATTGTTTTACTTTCCTGGTCTCACGACATAGGTAAGGAAAATGTCAAACGCCCACTTCCATCATCCTGTGCTGATAAACCCTTGAATGACAGACTATTTCAATGACAATCGCTGACAAGTGACACAAGTCAGCTGATCTGCAGATCTCCACCAAGTATTAACATAGGATACATACGCTGAATGGACTCGGACAATTTCTTTCAAGCATGAAGAAAATAAGTACATATACAGCTTACCTCCAACACACGGCAGCTGAACAATTGACTGAGTTACATTGTTTAGAACGTGAAATATGAGATACACAAATACGGAAATGGGAGGTTTGTTGTGGGCGCTGACATTTTGTATACAGGATGCTGGGAAACCTGAAAGGAAGTAGGTCAGAGGTCACCCACGGACTGCGATGGAGGAAAGTCGGTCACCGACGGGTGAGATTCATGCCCCCGTCCCACAAGGTAAGATCGCACACATAACTCGTTACCACTCTAGGACCATACTGGAATATGCTTGTATGGCTAACCCAGAAAATTATAATGACATTCGCTGTGTTTTCTCAGACTTAGACGGGTATGTATCCTGCAGACGTGCCCGCCGCACTTGTGCCTGCTTTGTTCCAGAAATAGGTCAGTCCCTCCGTGAATATCTAATGTGAAAATTTTTCCATATCACATCATTATAAAATAATATCACCGGCACTGTGTTGTTGCTAACATCTTTTCAAAGTGGGACCAGTATGTAAGGGTGACGATCGGGACTCGGGGATTTCGAATTGACAACGCTTTCGGTCGAAGTCTGGGAAGCTAGGTCATATAAGTGAACTGGGTCATTGCGAGTAGATTCTGGAGCTCTCAAGGTGGGGTATCGTGTCATACGGCACGGGCATATTTATCACATTTAAACGTTTTTGGCATTATACAACACCAAAACTACAATATGGCCCGAACTTTCATTTTTAATGATTTGTGTATTGGTTATTTTGGTAGCTGTCACGAAGTTGGTTTTCTAATCGGGACATTCTGAGTTTGACCTGTTTAACGGTGACATTGATCGCAGCGACTGTTCGGACGGACGGTTGACATGATTACGCTGGCCGAGCCCACACGGGCTGCAACAACAGCCATGTCACTCTGACCCCTTAGTAGAAAATAGCGATATTCAGAAATTGGTCTACGTTGTATTTCCTTCGTAGATATTTCCCGACTTGTCTTGTGGGCCATTTAGTAACATCTCCGATTTAGACCTACTTTCACAATGTGTCAAAATCTGGGTTAGGTTTCATGGATACGCTCTAAATGCTTTATACAATATACAATAATTGCCAATCAATAGGATTTATGAAATATATTCTTTCAGTTATTAATATGATATTTTCTGGACAAAAATGATTGTTGTGAGAAATTATCAGTGATAATTGATGTTTCTGCCACCAGAATACGGCAAGACTTTAGCCTGTATCTCTCCCTAAAAATATATATATAATTAAAAGGATTTGGTGGCAGTGCATGTACATATATAAGTTTTGGATGGGGGGTGGGTATGTGTGTAAGTCTTTCCATAATACTCATGATATGTTTTAGGTTAAGAGATATGTATACAGTTAACTTATATATATGTCATCATGTATATGGGTATTATAGGTATTGTTTAGATCTTTACTTACACAGACATTTGAGTGAGTTAAATTGGCCTAATTTCCATGGTGGCATGTTGAGTATGAGTCAAGTGTTAGTCATGGACAGTGTCCTGACAAATAACATGGCTGGCTGATACATTTGTGGCTTGCATCACTTTGTGAAAGATTTATTGTTTCAGCATTATTGAATTTAATTCATGCTTACAGCATAAAGAATTCAATACATGCGTACAGCGTAATTAATAAATTTGAGACTGCTTTCAGTTTTTGTTTTAATGGTTTTCTTTAAGTAAATTCAGGATGTTTGTGGAATACATTAGTTCTTATTTTTCCTCTTTAGTTTCTATAAACACCAGCACTGATTATTTTTGTTCACTTTCTTCTTGCTCCTATTTTAACCATGCCCAATTATTCATTAGTTTTAAAGGTAGAATTGTTGCTTCAAAATCCTGATCATCACTGTAGCCATCTTGAAGCTTTAATGTTGAACCATGCACACACGTCAATTTCAAAGTCATGCATTTTGCTGTTCTAATACAGTTCTTTAGTCCGTTGTTTGTTTTGAATGTTTGATGTTTGTTTAGGAGATAAACATACTGTGTTTCAATGTAGTGCTAGGTTACCTGTAAATTTAACCATGCTAAATTGAATTTGGAACTGAACAAGCAACGACGTTCCCGCAAGTCAGGACCAAACAATGCAGTGATTGACATCATGAGCATCGATCTAAGTAATTGGGATACGATGGCATGCATCAACCAAGCCAGTGATCCCATTTGTCCTCTTGAGGCAAATTCCAACCCAGATCTTCGTGGGGGTTCTCTGATTGAAGACCAGGCCATCCAAGTACACTGACAATTGATAAATCTGATATGCAAGATTTGTATTGTATGATGATTAATGTTCATATCATCTTTCTGTAATATTGCTGAGACTTGTGAGATGCTTTTCACAACATGTCTGAACTATTGCTGATGAGATGTTACATTTTCACTCTTAATATCACAACATTGTGTAACATCAGAGGATAGGACACAGAATATGGACCATATTGAACCTTGTCCTACTTTATACAACACTGTTCAGAGTTATAACTGTAGAAAAGGTAATATTGGAGATATTTCACCATTAGTGATTCTTATGGTACATACCAGTAATACATAACATATGTAGATAGTTTTGCTGTAATACAATCTGTGAATATTGCATCGGGATGATCCCAGTTTTGATGAATACTCATAATCAGATCATACGAAATCTTTCTACCCATGGTTACTGTGTAATACTATACTGAGGTTAAATGTGATGTAATTTGGAACAAATCTCTTTTAGTGCTGCTGTACTTTAGGTATCCTTTATTGCATGAACGCAATTAGAATTAATTTTTTACAATCAAACGCCTCTCTCTATAAAAAAATATGTGTATATACAAGGGGGAATGTTTGATGGTAAAATGGCATACAATTTCATAATGTTAATCAGAACCTCAGATTGCCGTACATTTGTATTGCATTATGTAGGGGGAAGCCACCAGCATTGATTGTCATTGATTCAGAGATAAAAATGTCAAATTTGATAAATTAATCCAGTTCTTCTTAAGATGTAAGCATGGTAAGTAAGTATGTTGATAAGGTTGGCTGGTGAGGTGTTTTCAGGATATCGTCTTTATGGTATGTTTGTTGTTTAATGCTGCACTCAGCAATATTCCAGCTAAGTGAGGGGCGGTCGGGTAGCCTAGTGGTTAAAGCGTTCGCTCGTCACGCCGAAGACCCTGGTTCGATTCCCGGCATGGGTACAATGTGTGAAGCCCATTTCTGGTGTCCCCCGCCGTGATATTGCTGGAATATTGCTAAAAGCGGCGTAAAACCATACACTCTCTCTCTCCAGCTAAGTGAAGGCAGTCTGTAAATAATCAACTCTGGATCCGACAATCCAGTGATTGACATCATCATGAGCATCGATAAGCATGAGGATACGATGACATGTATCAACCAAGTCAGCGAGCCTGACCTCCCTATCCAGTTAGTCGCCTCTTACGACAAGCATTGTTGCCTTTTACAACAAGCATGGGTTGCTGAAGACCTATTCTACCAAGGATCTTCATGGTTCTCTTAATAGTATCATGCACCTTAATTGTTTGGGGATACATATTAATACACACATAGAAACATCATCTTGGAGAACATGTTCATACCTAGAGCCAACCAAAAGTAGTATTGAGAATAATTGGGACTTACAACTTGAGCTGGTAAAGAAAGAGCTTCACATGGGTAGTCAGTAATATTTGCCTTTCTCTCACAGTGTCTGATCTCCGGTTTGCCTGTTTTTGTATTCATTTGGTTTGCACATGCATCTTGCAGCCAGAAATAAGCATTTTATCAAAATTGCTTCTTTCCAACCTGTTTTAATATGCATTGTTGTTTAACAAAAAATCATCCAGTTCAGCAATATAATATCAATACTCATCAAATAAGACAAACTGAATTACAGTTAAGCAGTCCATCAATATATTGTTGCCTTCCAAGTTGACGATGATTAAATGTTATAACGCTGGAGACTATTTGATTGCCTGCTGATGTGTGATAGAGGAAGCCCAGTTAAGTGTGTTAGGACAGATTGTGTTTGACATGCAAGATCAAATATGTGGGATTTTGTAGTATCTTTTACAAGAATTCAATTTGATTTGGGAAAACCAATCCTATGTGATGACATTTATCATTATTACCCTGTGTTGTGCAAGGATATTGAACTGAAGGGCACTCTGAACAGGGATATTATCTATAAATAGAATTATCAGAACTGTTTGAAAGCTTCATATTCATAATGTAAAGATAGACAGAGCAGGTCTGTCTGACATGCATTAGAAGACTTTGATCATGTTGATCGCAGCATGTCACTCATTCAACCAATGAAATTCAGATATTAATGTGCAGAGTTGGGAGGAATTCTGCATGTATATGTATATTATCCCCCGCCGCGCGAAAGCGCGAAGCGGGGGATATAGTATTCACGACCGTCCGTCCGTACGTCCGTCCATACGTCCGTACGTCCCACCTGTTTGTTGCCGCGATATCTCAAGAACTAAACACTGGATTGTCTTCATATTTGGAACTATGGTGTATATACAGACTCCGCAGACACCAGTCGGTTTTGGTGACCTTGATCCCATTTTCAAGGTCACAGCAGACAAATCTGCTTTTAGAGTTGGAAAACGGTGTTGCCGCGATATCTCAAGAACTAAACACTGGATTGTCTTCATATTTGGAACTATGGTGTATATACAGACTCCGCAGACACCAGTCGGTTTTGGTGACCTTGATCCCATTTTCAAGGTCACAGCAGACAAATCTGCTTTTAGAGTTGGAAAACGGTGTTGCCGCGATATCTCAAGAACTAAACACTGGATTGTCTTCATATTTGGAACTATGGTGTATATACAGACTCCGCAGACACCAGTCGGTTTTGGTGACCTTGATCCCATTTTAAAGGTCACAGCAGGCAAATCTGCTTTTGGAGTTGGAAAACGGTGTTGCCGCGATATCTCAAGAACTAAACACTGGATTGTCTTCATATTTGGAACTATGGTGTATATACAGACACCGCAGACACCAGTCGGTTTTGGTGACCTTGACCCCATTGTCAAGGTCACAGCAGGCAAATCTGCTTTTGGAGTTAGAAAACGGTGTTGCCGCGATATCTCAAGAACTAATCGCTGGATTGTCTTCATATTTGGAACTATAGTGTATATACAGACACCGCATACACCTGTCAGATTTGGTGACCTTGACCCCATTTTCAAGGTCACAGCAGGCAAATCTGCTTTTGGAGTTGGAAAACGGTGTTGCCACAATATCTCAAGAACTAATCGCTGGATTGTCTTCATATTTGGTACTATGGTGTACAGGCGGGGGATATTTCGTCACTCTGTGACAAATACTTGTCTATATCTGTGATGTCCCAGCTGTGACTTCACAGTACTGAATGTGGGTGGGTGGGAGTAAATCAAATTGTTTATTTGTTTTTTTAAACCATATTCAGGCAGCTAACCAGAACAGAAATTCCCAAAGTAATAATTATTTGGATTTAAGTTCCAGCAATGTTATTGGCCATTTATATTTTAATGACTGGTTGTACATAACTGAAGAACCACTGAGAGTCTGGACTACATAATGGCTAGGCAACTGTGTGAGGAGAAGGCATAAGTATTGATGTATCTCTGTCGGCCATGACAAATAAAAATGAAATTAAAACAATCATCCCAGGTCCATGATAATATCCCCAGGTGTGACAGCCAACAGCAAACATCACTTTTTGAGTGATCAAAATATTTTGATGTGTACCACAGTGTTAGAAATTGGCACTAGTCCTGTCATCCTTGCCAAACTGCCCAATAGTAAAGGTATCATAAGGACTAGTAGAAATTTGCCATTTTTAGGGGCTTTGCTATAGGTTATCATTATAAGGACGAGTGGAGGAAAACTGTTAGTTTCTAATGCTGTACCAACTGCTGATGCCTTGCTAATGTCTGGGTTCTTGTCTGGCACATCAATGCATATACAAGTAACCACTGCTGCTGATCATAAAACAAATTGTGGCATAACATCGAACTCATATATTTACACGAGTTGGCCGTTTGACTTTTGATGTCAGGAGTCGGTGAAGTAGTGAAATAAGTGGCGTGGCAAGGGTTGATTTGCGGTGAATTTATTTTCATATATTAAACTCATTTTATCCAAGCATTCTGATTTTTGAAATGTCTGATATTTTCAATTTTGGGTCTTTAATTTTTGTCAGCGACAGCAAGAGGTTAAATTGAACATATTTCAAGTTCTGATTATGCTAATTAAAATGAAATTTTGGAAAGTTTCATCTGGTTATCAAAAGTAATATAATTGTGACAAGGACATGGTGAACATCATTTCAAATACATTTTTGTCAGGAGAAATAGATTGAAAACCAGATTTTATATGTTATTTTGACGAACTTAGAAATGTGTAATAAATAGAACAAGACTTGACTGCACTAGGTTTAATTAAATTTGAGCAATGGAATATGTGGAATCTACAAGAATTATCCCCTGTGTCAGTAAGTTGTGTTCAATCAAGTTTTTCGATTGACGGATGTCTGAATTGCCTGCAAGTAGACTTGCAGAGGTCACGATGACCTTTTAAAATCTGTTATCAATGCTCCTCAGCCTTATAATATTTTACATTTGTTTGCATTTTTCATCTCATTCTTTGCCTGTGAGGTATTAACAGCCTCAAAATATATTGTCTGTATCACATTTCCTTTCCTTTGGTATTCATTTCTTAGTCATAGACGTAGCATTATTGTGCTGGGAATTTGTCACCTGCCAGTGTTTTGGTGCCTACCTGAATGCCATGATGTAGATGTACATGGAACGTGAAATAACCTGTTATCTACTACCCGTCATTCAACTCTTTTATTTTTAAGCCGCTTGTTTAAATATTTGGATCAATATTCACCCAAACCGTCAAACTGATTGTCTGTTGTTGGTGATTGAAAAAGCAACCAAAGATAAATGTTTGACATTTTCTTTAGATATTCATATCAGATATCCATGATTTTTTCCATGAAATATTAATAGGTCAGTTGGGACGAATACATAAGCAATACCCTTTTAGCGATGTAGGTAACATCCCAACAGGATCTGTCTTTGTCTGTTCAATCCGAGGGTCGGTGTGACTCTCACACAATTACCTGCTTGTAAGACAGAAGGCATTGTAGCTATTTCTTTAGCATAAGAATGCTATCTACTTCATTTCATGTGTAGTATGAAGATTGATAAAAGATTGTCTAAATCAATTATTGTTGCCAATAACCTTTTTCGTCAACTCAACCTCGGTTACTTAGAATTTTAGCCAATGTGGCTTTCTGAATGCAACTATCTGCTCTGTCAGGCTGCGGGATGAGATGAGCATGTTATTAACCATTGAAATTGTTAAAGCCTTGAGCAAGTTCTCCCAACTCCATGGTATCTTAGCAACGACATCTGCTTGTTATAGGATGCCAGGCTATTGTTCTGTGATGTCATCATGATGTCATTGAACAGTTGAAAATAGAATACTATGAATATGTTATTATGCTAGCCACAATAGCATTGTTATTTTACTCAATAATCTTGATATTTCCCTTTCACTGACATTTTCAGAAGAAGTAAACATTTTAGCTCACAATATATTATTTTATTAGGTTTTTGACCACTTTTATAAAAAACTATGAGACAGGAGGCCTTTTATTGTTGTGTTTGTGTGCATGTCATCAAGTAAAGAAATAGGCAAAACACTTAGTGATTGTTTTCATCTGTAGCTTCTTGGTCTTCAGCTTCCTATGCTTGTCACAAGTGGCGACTAATGGGATCGGGTGGTCAGGCTCGCTGATTTGGTTGATGCATGTCATCGTATCCCAATTGTGCAGATCGATGGTCATGATGTCAATCACTGGATTGTCTGGTCAGACTTCATTATTTAAAGACCGCCGACGCTTGGCAGGAATATTGCTGAGTGCAGCGTTAACACAAGAAACGAACGAAACCAACTTGTGACGTGTCGCTGTGTGGTGCTTCAGATTATTTTGTTATGTCCTCACAGGTAGATAATTAATTTAGTTTATTTAGACTATTAGAATTTAGAGTCCTTACTCGTCACTGTGCCAGTTTCCACCCAAATCTCAAGGTGTATCATGACTCTCGGGATCAGTGATTGACCACAAGCAAGGTGTTAGACTGCCCTTTTTCTGCAGTCCGTCCGTGTCACAAGATGCTTGATTTGAGGGTCTCAGGTCTCAGGGTCACAACACTGCCAGTCCAAGTTATCACATTCATCAGAGTATATTCATTAAAGACATCCAGTTACAGTTACAGACATGCCTTCGTCAGCCAGTGCACTATGGGTAATTCTGTACAGACAAACCTCGTCCTCACCTACTAGTGCACTATGGGTAATTCTGTACAAACAAACCTTGTCCTCACCTACTAGTGCACTATGGGTATTTCTGTACAGACAAACCTTGTCTTCACCCTGTAGTGCACTATGGGTATTTCTGTACAGACAAACCTTGTCTTCACCCAGTAGTGCACTATGGGTAATTCTGTACAGACAAGCCTCGTCTTCACCCAGTAGTGCACTATGGGTATTTCTGTACAGACAAGCCTCGTCTTCACCCAGTAGTGTACTATGGGTAATTCTGTACAGACAAACCTTACTTCACCCAGTAGTGTACTATGGGTAATTCTGTACAGACAAACCTCGTCTTCACCCAGTAGTGCACTATGGGTAATTCTGTACAGACAAGCCTTACTTCAACCAGTAGTGCACTATGGGTAATTCTGTACAGACAAACCTCGTCTTCAACCAGTAGTGCACTATGGGTATTTCTGTACAGACAAACCTCGTCTTCAACCAGTAGTGCACTATGGGTAATTCTGTACAGACAAACCTCGTCTTCACCCAGTAGTGCACTATGCGTAATTCTGTACAGACGAGCAAAAAGAGAAATACATAGCAAGATAAAAAAAGCACAATTGATTTAATTTGCCTGCAGATTGACAGCAATATTAAAATAAACATTGGCGTCTTATTTATCAAGGCGTATTGAGTACTAACTTGTACTTGCTCCCTGTCGGCTTTGATTTAATGGAGGAAAAGGATACTGATTGTAAGCAGGCCAGTACAATGTTATCGATTTTTAGATTCGTTTTTCTCTCAAATGTGAAGTCTGTGAAATTATTGGAATACATAATAAAATAAGAGGCATTGATTTTAACATGTTTAAATATCAACATAGTCTTTCTTCTTGGTACTGAGCAGGACTGAGATAAGGCAATACCATAGTTGCTATATAGACCATTATATAGGTAATATAGACCCATGTATTACTATTAGGAACATGTACCTTTCTCGTACAAGATTTACCATTCTTCAGGCAGCATGTTTTGTATTTATGAATATAATTTGATTAGCCTTGTATACATGGTCACTAAGGCGGGGTCTTGATCCTTTGGATATATAAGGAAAATATGAGGTCACGGTCACTAGAGGTTAAATTAATTCCATGGGACAAATGCCTCCCCCACCTCAGGACCCAGGCTCAATTCCCGTTCAGCGTGTGAACCAATTCTTCGTGTCTCCGACCCTGGTGTGACTCAAGTCTTGAAGCAGCTTAAAATTGTACTCACTCACTCACTCTCGTTACAGTGTTGATATGGAAAAAGGGAGTGAGCAACGTCGACACCGGTGAGGTTGATTTGAGACAACAGCAGGACAGCCACAACCAACTACGCTCACCTCATCACGACATAGGGGACAGACCACGCCTCAACTCCGCCTCAAGGTCACTTCAAGGTCAGTACTCCGGTATTCTTTTGTACAATAACTGAACTATCAAATCTTCCCATTTTCTGTAAACTTTAAAGCACAAAATGTCATCATGCAAAAGTGACTGTTTATGTAGTCTAGCATCTGTTGTTTTCTCTCGAACATCTGCTATGGTTAAAAAGGGTCAATAAAATTTGCATTGGATAACTAGCTGTCTGTACATAAAACGTTTTGTCTGCTGGCCCAAAGTTGAATCTTGGAGTAATTTTAATTTTATTCTATGGACCTTTTTATTAGCAGATCTTTCTAGAACAGAATTTCACTAGGCTCAGGTTTCGGACTAGTCGCTAGTCACTAGTCGGGGATTCTGGGTTCGAAGAGGTCCCCAGAAGCCTCTTCTGGTCCTAGGAGACCACTAAATGGATCAGGTGGTCAGGCTTGGTGACCTTGTTGATAGGTGTCATTGTACTGTATTGGGGAGATTCATTGCTCACCATCGATCAATTGTTTACAGGTTACCATCATATGGCCGAATATTTTGCTGAGAGCGCCATTAAACAAACAAACAACAAAACAAACTAGTGGCAAAAGACACAGACTAGGATTTTTTTTTAGTCTTGCTGTTTGTTTGAAATAAATCCTAGGTCGTCAGTCTCAAAACATTTTGTTGTATCATATATTTATTTGGTGGGCATCTCTCATTGTCTGACTGACTCGCTATGTAAACATAATCACTGCTTGCTAATCTGTGTTCATCTGTTTGCTGAAAGCTAATGTTTCACTAATCCTCTTGAGCCAAGCATCTCATAAGGAGTAACTGCATGCCAGTTTATAGAGTGTCGGAGCGTGCCGATTATGCTGGTTACAGAGTCTGAGCACACAAGTGCTGGTTTATAGGGAGTGTTGGAGTACTCAAGTGCTGGTTTATAGGGAGTGTTGGAGTACTCAGATGCTGGTTTATAGGGAGTGTTGGAGTACTCAAATGCTGGTTTATAGGGGGTGTTGGAGTACTCAGATGCTGGTTTATAGGGAGTGTTGGAGTACTCAAATGCTGGTTTATAGGGAGTGTTGGAGTACTCAAGTGCTGGTTTATAGGGAGTGTTGGAGTACTCAAATGCTGGTTTATAGGGAGTGTTGGAGTACTCAGATGCTGGTTTATAGGGAGCATCGGAATACTCAAGTGCTGGTTTGTAGGGAGTGTCAGAGTACTCAAGTGCTGGTTTATAGGGAACGTCGGAGTACTCAAGTGCTGGTTTATGGGGAGTGTCAGAGTACTCAAGTGCTGGTCTATAGGGAGAGCATAGGCATACTCCGATGCCAGTTTAAAGGGAGCCTTGACGTTCTCAGATGTCCGAAGCTGGTTTTATTATTCTTTAGACAGTCCACAGTAATATCAAAACTAAATCTGCTGGCTTATTCAATCTTGTATTAAACATAGGGTTATGCTTCTCAGTACTACGTATTTCTGTGCTGATGTGGGTAAGTTATTCAACATTGTTCAATGTTGTTACCTGTGAATACTTGTCAGCTGACTTGACCAGCTTCCTCTTAGGACCCGTGAAGATCTGGGTTAGAATAGGTCTTCAGCAACCCATGCTTTCCGCAAGAGGCGACTTTGCTTGTTGTAAGAGGCTACTAACAGGGTCAGGTGTTCAGGCTTGCTGACTTGGTTGGTGCATGTTATCCTATCCCAATTGCGTGGATCAATGCTCATGATGTCAATCACTGGATTGTCTGGTCCAGACTTGATTATTTACAGACTACTGTCATATAGCTGGAATATTGCTGAGTGGGACCTTGAAAAACAAACAAACAAAAAAAGCTTCCTCTTAGAAAAAAACACACCAAATAATCACATTAATCAAGGCTCAAGCATACAGCCCACCTGACAAATTAAGTTCTTCTGCTAATTACTGTAGGTGTATATTGTTGTATGTGTGTGTTCAGGTCCATTGGTCATGTGGAAGAAGACTGGTGGGAATGGCGGCACCGAAGTGCTGCAGGTCAGGCACCAGGACGCGGTGGCATGGAAGAAGGCTTTGGCCAGCAGCGTCGAGAACAGCAACTCTTCGGATACACATCAAGATGAAACCGAAATATGGAAAACAGCAGTTAACTCCCTTGACCGAAATGTAGCTGATTTACGAAAAGGACATGTGATATGGAAGAAAAGTGTTGGGGATGTTGACAGTAGCGTGTCCGACACGCATCATCAGGAGAGTGTGTTGTGGAAGAAGCAAGTCCAGGGTAGCATGGGGGACATGGAGGCCCATGATGGGGCAGGATGGAAGAAGGCAGTCAGCAGGGTGGACCGGCCCGAGATGAGTCAGCAGGATGACCAGAGTCCTCTGCAGTCACCGCATCACGACATTGGAGACAGACCTCTCATGAACTCCACACCAAGGTCACCTCAAGGTCAGTTGAGTTTTCTAACCCAGGTCTCCACAGGTCCAGACAGCCATAGAGTCTAGTACTTTAGTATGGCAGAGATGTCTGTTGACATATTTTAAAGTCTTGTAAATGCATACACTGGACCAGAGGGAAGGTGCCAGGCTTTCCACATCTCTTTGTTTAAGCATATTTAACATTAAACATTTAGAAGTTTTATTGAAGAGATCATGTATTCTAAGTGTACACATTACAACACTATGTTTTCTTGTTTTGATTTTTTCAAGAAATTATGCAAACGCTGCCAAATCTTAACATGCACAAGTCTCTAAGGCAAAAACTATTAGTTTAAGTCCTAATTTCTAGATTATATAAATAATAAGAACAAGTTGTCCCTATAAGAGACTGGCGTCCTGAGACTGTCTGAGTGTCTAGACTTGCCTATTTTAAGGACAGAATAACTTTACACCCATGGACTTGGAGCAAGGCTAGCACTTGAAATGTAGGACTTGTTGTACCAAGGCATGAGAGTCAAGGAAACAAACTTCTCCTTGACATGAAAACAACACCAAGCTGTCGCTCATATAATGTTTCTTCTGTTTGTTCACTGGGAGCTGAGTGACTTTATTCCGTGTCAATCCATTCATAAACCTTCTTATGATATATTAACTGAAATTAATCCCCATGTTTCCTCCCAGCCTATCATTACGGAGTGAAACACCTTCTGGGCGATATCGATCGGAGTCAGCCAGGGGGGATTACCGAATCATGGCGACCCGGTAACGTCTGACTTAGAGTGAAGTCTACCCATGAACATCCGGGCTAGAATAGAGCTTCAGCAATCCATGCTTGCAGGAAAAGGTGCTTATGCTTGTCTTAAGAATCGACTAAGGGCATTCAGTGAAGATTCAGTGAAGATCCAGGTAGAATAGGTCTTCAGCAACCCATGCTTGCCGTAAAAGGCGACTACGCTTGTCGTAAGAGGCGGCCAACAGGATCGGGTGGTCAGACTCGCAGACTTGGTTGATGAATGTCATCGTTTCCCAATTGTGTGGATTGATGCTCATGATATCAATCACTGGATTATCTGTCCGAGACTCGATTATTTACGGACCGCCATCATATCGCTTGATAATTGCTGCGTGTGGCGTTAAACAACAATGACAAAAAACAAACAAAAACCTCAGTGTAGTCAGTTTGTTTCGTTCTACTGCACACATCACTGTTATCTCATCATATCAATCATTGGGACGCAAAAGATATGACATCACAGTCGTATATAGGAAAGCACCAACTTTCAAGCTCCCTCATGTCCCCAAACTTTAAATACATTCTCTTTGTCGATTTCTATCGTTTTTCTGTAACAAAATGAGGTGCACAGACACTGAGGCTTTTGGCCTGGAATGTTACTTTAACATGTCTAGGGACAACCGAAGCTGTAATTGTAAACACCTGTCACTGTGAATCATGTACAGAGGCACCTCTACTGAAAGAAAAGTCCATGTATGTGTAGTATTTTATCCTCCTAGTAGTCAAGTCTAGATATGTGGACAGTACAGTCTCTAAAAGGGACAACTTGTTCTTATTATTTACAGGGGCACGGGTGGCCCAGTCGTCTAAGGTGCCGCGATTCACTGTGCAGAGTTGTGTCCCTTGGCCGCGCCAGAAACCTATGATTGTGGGTTCGAATCCCGGTTCGCCCCGATTATGTTTCTAGGTTTGTCAGCACCATACCCGTGCTCATTGGTTTCACCGAAGTGGTAAACGTCTGAGACCTGCATCACTTCGGGCTTTCCTCCCACATTAAGCTGACACGCCGTGATATAACTGGAATACTGTTAAAAGCGGCGTTAAACCCAATTCACTTACGACCCATGAAGATTCCGGGGTAGAATAGATCTTCAGCAACCCATGCTTGCCTTCAAAGGTGACTATGCCTGTCGTAAAAAGCGACTAACGGGATCGGGTGGTCAGGCTCGCTGACTTGGTTAATGCATGTCATCGATCCCAATTGTGTGGATCAATGCTCATGATATTAATCACTGGATTGTCTGGTCCAGACTTGATTATTTACAGACCGCCACCATATAGCTATTATATTGCTGAGCGCGGCGTTAAACAACAAACTAACCAACCAACCAATTCACTCACTCTCTCACTCTTATTATTTACATAATCTAGAACTTATGATTTAAACTAATCATTATTGCCTTAGACATGTTAGAGACTTGTGCAAATCTAAAACAACTCCCTTGGTGCCACTTATCATGACTTAATTAGGAAAAGCTGTCAAAGACCTGTCCCCTTCTATTATGAGGCATTGTCATTCACTTGATATATATCTGACATGCTTCAAAACTATGGTTCATGATTTCAAGATGGAAAGAACTATTTAATAAGTAGAAATGTATTACATGTCCACAGTTTGCTGGAACTGTGAGTTTGTCGACAACCCTCTGAGGGTTCATTTCATTGATCATCACCACTAACCTGGGGCATCCAAGAGGCCACTAGAATAACGCTTTGTCTCTGAAAATATGTAAGTTTGATAGAAACAAGCAACTACATTTAAAATGAAAAGGAGTCCAAGTGAGATGGGAGATTCAGACAGTTTCCTGAACCTGTGGAAAATCTAGACTTGCTTCATTTAAGGCTATAGCGTTACAGTTAGGGTTGGATTGAGTGAGTGAGTGAGTATGGTTTTACGCCGCTTTTAGCAATATTCCAGCAATATCATGGCAGGGGACACCAGAAATGGGCTTCACACATTGTACTCATGCCGGGAATCGAACCCAAATGTTCGGTGTGACGAGCGGACGCTTTAACCACTAGGCTACCCCACCGCCCCTGGAAGGGAGTATTCTATGGTTACGGGACTGTGAGACTAAGGGTCCCCTAGCATCCCCTTTGTTTGTTTATTGTTTAACGCCCCACTCAGCAATATTGCAGCTGTACAGTGTAAGTTATCGAGTCTGGACCAGGCAATCCAGTGATTGACGTCTAAGCATCCCTTGTTAAGTGCAGATGGTATGTTGGAGAGGGTGGAAACATCCGTTATAAGCCCGCCCAAATTCTAAATGGCTGAGGTGTCCACATGTTGATTAGAAATTACAAATATTGGGAAAGTTTTCCTCCAGATGTCAATATGAGGTCTAGTGGCTAACTGCTGAGGCATGATTCCATTCTGATTTCCATTCCAAGAGTTGGCCTTCATATAGCTGAAATATTGCTGAGTGTGGCGTTCAACAACAAACAAACAAATCCAGGAGTTGATAAGCAATATTTCAGCAATAACTTGGCAGGGACACTGGCGTTTGGGCTTCACACATAGCACCCATGTGGAATCGAACCCACGCCTTCTACATGACAAGCAAACCCACTTGACCATCCTTCCACCTTCCACTCCAAGAGCTGCCTGTGGCCTGATGTCTTTCTGTGTAGACAGCTTGGCTATTAGCTCTCCTTATAACACTAAAACCTACTAAAGGACACACAGTTTGACGAATACATGCCCTGGCCCTGACTGCAGGGGTGATAGCATATAAGAACATGCAAGAAGACTTTGAGATGCTACTCAATGAGGGAGATGTTACAAGCCCACACGATATCTTGAGGCCTTATATGTTTTAAGTTGGTTAACGAGACTTACCCACCAAACCCAAAAGCTGAAATCAGAATGGGGAAAACTGAGTTTTCACAAAAATATTTGTCCATGAGGTGAAAAACAAGAACCCAAAAACCCAAGATTTTATGATAACTGTTCATCAGGAATAAACCATACTGTAATCTAATAATACATACCGGTATATAAATTCTTTATTCAAACAAAAATAACCCAATCACTTATCTTTTGGTATCGTTTTGCAGGTATATTTCCGTGATGGTGTGACCTTTAAGTTTGTTTTTCATTTGTTAGTAGTAGTATGATCTGGATGTTGAATGAAAAAAAAATCAACCTTGAATTTTGGGCCAAAATGTTTATAAACCAACTAGTAAGGAATAAGAGGCCTTAACAGGTAGCAAACTGAAGGTAGTGGGTAGGAGGAAACACCAGCCTGGATACGGAGATTGTAAGAATTTACCCCCTTCTTGTCATTCATCTCTCAGGATCTTCCATTAGCAGTCTTGGTGTCAGGTTTCACCATCAATGGGATTAGGCAGCTAATTCAGTCCTTTTTGAACCAACACTGAAACATATCTCAATCTCTTAAGGGAACCAAGAATACTTCGTTTCTTGTCATTGATCATTCACAATCTGTCTCAGGTCAATGTTAGTTTAGTGTTTGTGAAACCATTAGGTTGAAAGAGGAGATTTAGGGGGTTGCTAGATTCTAGTACTATGTCAGCAAACCTCAAGAACACTGAGACCCCCAACACAGCGATAGAAACTAACAGTTTTAGTCCACTGGTCCTTATGATGATAACATATAGCAAAAACCTTAAAAAGGCAAATTTCTACTAGTCCTGATGACACCTTAACTATTGGGCAGTGTGGCAAGGACTACAGGAATAGTGCCAATGTCTAACCTAGCCTTCAGTGTTGAGCTGTGTGTGCTTGAGATAGAACACATGATTGCATCACTCACACACAGTGGACTTTAGTGGTCATACATTGGTCAGCTGATTGGGTGCTGCTTGTGACAAGAGTATTTGAATCCAGAGACCCATAAATCTTTAACTTAAGAACCTTCATGCTGGTTACAAAAACTGTTGCTGAAATTCCAACTTTACAATTTATGAGAGTATAAAATAACTGCAGTATTTAAATTCTATAATTTCAATGATATATTTTAATTGCCTCAAAATGTTCAGTAGTTTTCAAGATAAACTTAACTCTACTTAAAAATAGTATTTTAAATAATGTTTTTATGTTGATAGCAAAAGAATATGATGAGGCTTGTATTTTTTTCGACATTTTACTTATTTCTGGTTGATGGAATATTGAAACCACTGCTTTTCATGTGTTTTCGTTTTTTTCACACACGTTTGTTTAAAAGTTGGCAGATTCATAAATCAAGTAAAGTTAAGTCTGCCTACAGCAAAACAATAAATCATCAAGTCTTGTTTTTCGTTATGTTTCACAACATGACAGACAGGAATATGTGAGCAGCAAGCTACAGTGAACCACCTTCAGAGGTCCGTATGAATGCTAGGAGCTCCTTGTTTCCTTGTTTTGCGGCACATGACATATATCTCCTTGTTTGTCGATAAATTTCTACAGTGTACTTACAAACAGTTGGGTTTAAGGGATTATTTTCTGGAGGATGAAGTGGGCTTTATATCATGCGTAGGCATCTGTGACCTGTGAAGCATAACTAACATGATCGGTTCGGATTGGATCGGACTTGGTTGACGCATGTCATCATATCCCAATTACGCGGATCGATGCTCATGATGTCAATCACTGGATTGTCTGGTTCAGACTCGATTATTTACAAACTGCCATCATATAGCTGGAATATTGCCGAGTACAGCGTTAAACAACAAACACAGATTTTGGACAAGAGCCGAGAGGTGTAGATAGGTGAACTGGAAAAATGAGATTGTGAGATGTTTTTATGTATGAGGGGGAGTAGCCCAGTGCTTGTTCTGCCTCAGGCCGTGGTTTCAGTATCATGTGTGGGTACTTTGTGTTAAACCAATCTCAATCCACTCACTCACTCACTCACTCACTCACTCACTCACACACCCACCCTCTCCACCATCCACTCACCTATATCTGCCATACACCCACCCACTCACTCACCCATTCACCCACTCACTCACCTATCCACATGGTTAAGCACCCATACAGGTGATACAAGGCATGCAGCACCAAGCACAGCCCAACTCCGATATGAACACGTATTTAATGTGTGTTAGGATAGCATTGCATGTGTTCTGTGATGACGCTTATGAAATGATTATTCCTGAGTCTTTATTCCCTGCAGCGCTACTCAGCTCGCATAATGTTTTGTTTGAAATACGACTGTCGGGAAGAAGTAGAAGGGCCTTTGATGTTGAGGAGGGAGAGTAAGATTTCACAGAATCATTATTGTATGGTTGCCGCTGGCTCACTGTTGTACACCTTCGTTATTGCTTGTTAGGAATTGTCTGTGTATACTTAGTGGTCATTGGAGATTCATGTGCCACACACCACCCATATCTGCCATACACCACCCATATCTACCACACACCACCCATATCTACCACACACCACCCATATCTACCATACACCACCCATATCTACCCATATCTACCATACACCACCCATATCTGCCATACACCACCCATATCTACCATACACCACCCATATCTGCCATACACCACCCATATCTACCATACACCACCCATATCTGCCATACACCACCCATATCTACCACACACCACCCATATCTACCACACACCACCCATATCTACCATACACCACCCATATCTACCATACACCACCCATATCTGCCATACACCACCCATATCTACCATACACCACCCATATCTGCCATACACCACCCATATCTACCATACACCACCCATATCTGCCATACACCACCCATATCTACCACACACCACCCATATCTACCACACACCACCCATATCTACCATACACCACCCATATCTACCATACACCACCCATATCTGCCATACACCACCCATATCTACCATACACCACCCATATCTGCCATACACCACCCATATCTACCATACACCACCCATATCCTCCACACACCACCCATATCTACCATACACCACCCATATCTACCATACACCACCCATATCTACCATACACCACCCATATCTACCACACACCACCATATCTACCACACACCACCCATATCTACCACACACCACCCATATCTACCACACACCACCCATATCTGCCATACACCACCCATATCTACCATACACCACCCATATCTACCATACACCACCCATATCTACCATACACCACCCATATCTACCACACACCACCATATCTACCACACACCACCCATATCTACCACACACCACCCATATCTGCCATACACCACCCATATCTACCATACACCACCCATATCTACCACACATATCTACCACACACTACCCATATCTACCACACACCTCACATATCCTCCAAACAGCTGCCATACATATCACAAACCACCCATATCTGCCACACACCACCCATATCCTTCACACAGCTGCCATATATATCACAAACCACCCATATCTACCACACACCACCCATATCTACCACACACCACCCATATCTACCACACACCACCCATATCTGCCATACACTACCCATATCTGCCATACACCACCCATATCTGCCATACACCACCCATATCCTCCACACACCACCCATATCTACCACACACCACCCATATCTACCATACACCACCCATATCTACCACACACCACCCATATCTACCATACACCACCCATATCTACCATACACCACCCATATCTGCCATACACCACCCATATCTACCATACACCACCCATATCTGCCATACACCACCCATATCTGCCATACACCACCCATATCTACCACACACCACCCATATCTACCATACACCACCCATATCTGCCATACACCACCCATATCTGCCAAACACCACCCATATCTACCACCCATATCTATCACACACTACCCATATCTACCACACACCTCACATATCCTCAAAACAGCTGCCATACATATCACAAACCACCCATATCTGCCACACACCACCCATATCCTCCACACAGCAGCCATATCTACCACACACCACCCATATCTACCATACACCACCCATATCTGCCATACACCACCCATATCTGCCATACACCACCCATATCTACAATACACCACCCATATCCTCCACACACCACCCATATCTACCACACACCAGCCATATCTACCATACACCACCCATATCTACCATACACCACCCATATCTGCCATACACCACCCATATCTACCATACACCACCCATATTTGCCATACACCACCCATATCTGCCACACACCACCCATATCTACCACACACCACCCATATCTACCATACACCACCCATATCTGCCATACACCACCCATATCTGCCATACACCACCCCTATCTGCCATACACCACCCATATCTGCCATACATATCTACCACACACTACCCATATCTACCACACACCACACATATCCTCCAAACAGCTGCCATACATATCACAAACCACCCATATCTGCCACACACCACCCATATCTACCACACAGCTGCCATATATATCACAAACCACCCATATCTGCTACACACCACCCATATCCTCCACACAGCAGCCATATATATCACAAACCATCCATATCCTCCACACAGCTGCCATATATATCACAAACCACCCATATCTACCACACACCACCCATATCTCCCACACACCACCCATATCCTCCACACAGCTACCATATATATCACAAACCACCCATATCTACCACAAACCACCCATATCTCCCACACACCACCCATATCTCTCACACAATACAACCGATCACCAATATGGTATATGGTAGACCAACCATATCTACCATACACTACCCATATCTACCACCCACCACCCACATCTACAGTTCACACCCATACCTACCATACACCACCCAAATCCACACACACCACCCATATCTACCCCCACTACCCATATCTACCATACACTACCCATATCTACCACACGCCACACACATCTACAGTTCACACCCATATCTACCATACACCACACACATCTACAGTTCACACCCATATCTACCATAGACCACCCATATCTATCACACACCGCCCATATCTATCACACACCATACACCCATATCTACCACGCTCCACCCATATCTACCACACACCGCCCATATCTACCACACACCGCCCATATCTATCACACGCCACACACCCATATCTACCACACTCCACCCATATCTACCACACACCGCCCATATCTATCACACACCACACACCCATATCTACCACACTCCACCCATATCTACCACACACCACACATATCTACCACACACCGCCCATATCTACCACACACCGCCCATATCTATCACACACCACACACCCATATCTACCACACTCCATCCATATCTACCACACACGGCCCATATCTATCACACACCACACACCCATATCTATCACACACCACACACCCATATCTACCACACACCACCCATATCTACCACACACCACTCATATCTACTGCCTCTGTTTCAGGATGGCCCCAAGAATATAGAAATTCCAAACTCCCAGTTAGTTCAGAATATGATGATTCCAAAGTTCCCGGTGAAGCTGATCGTCCTAGTTCTGGCAATGGCTACCTGCCTGTGAATGTGTCTAGCCCATCAATTCCCAGTCCAGGTAAGTCTTCGATGTTCTCGTCTACATGGCCAAGTGTGTACCATTCCTGGCCGTGTGTGTATATACCTGGAACATGATATTAACAGTGTTATTACCACACTTAGTCTACTATTTGAACCCAGCATGGCTAACCTGTACATGACACATGGCTAATCTGAATATGATACATGGCTAACCTGTACATGATACATGTCTAATCTGTACATGATACATGGCTAATCTATACATGATACATGGCTAATCTGTACATGATACATGGCTAACCTGTGCATGACACATGACTAATCTGTACATGATACATGTCTAATCTGTACATGATACATGGCTAATCTGTACGTGATACATGGCTAACCTGTGCATGATACATGGCTAATCTATACATGATACATGTCTCATCTGTACATGATACATGGCTTCTCTGTACATGATACATAACTAATCTGTACATGATTCATGTCTAATCTGTACATGATACATGGCTTCTCTGTACATGATACATGTCTAATCTGTACATGACACATGGCTAATCTGTACATGATACATAACTAACCTGTACATGATACATGTCTAATCTGTACGTGATACATGACTAATCTGTACATGATACATGTCTAATCTGTACATGACACATGGCTAATCTGTACATGATACATGTCTTATCTGTACATGATACATGGCTAATCCGTACATGATACATGGCTAACCTGTGCATGACACATGGCTAATCTGTACATGACACATGGCTAACCTGTACATAATACATGTCTAATCTGTACATGATACATGGCTAATCTGTACATGATACATGGCTAATCTGTACATGATACATGGCTAATCCGTACATGATACATGACTAGTCTGTACATGATACATAACTAATCTGTACATGATACATGTCTAATCTGTACATGTTACATGTCTAATCTGTACATGATACATGGCTAACCTGTACATGATACATGTCTAATCTGTACGTGATACATGGCTAATCTGTACATGATACATGGCTAGTCTGTACATGACACATGGCTAATTTGTACATGATACATGGCTAACCCGTACATGACACATGGCTAATCTGTACATGATACATGGCTAACCTGTACATGATACATGGCTAACCTGTACATGACACATGGCTAATCTGTACATGATACATGGCTAACCTGTACATGATACATGGCTAATCTGTACATGATACATGGCTAATCTGTACATGATACATGGATAATCTGTACATGATACATGGCTAATCTGTACATGACACTGGCTAATCTGTACATGATACATGGCTAATCTGTACATGACACATGGCCCGGTTTGTGCATCACATGGCGTCAGTTCCCGTCCAGGCCTAAGACCCAGGTTCAGTGGATACGGGAGGATATACACCATTGTGTGTTTACAGCGGTGTGGGCGGAAGCATTAGCACATACAGCTACACTCATCACACAGACTGGGACTGCGCAATCATTGGGATTTTTTTTATTAAATATGGAATCCACCAAGGTCACTTTGTGACTAAACACACTGCATGTTTGCGAATCCTGATGGAGGCCTCAATGTAAAATGTCTTATCAAGTTGGTGCTGAAGGGTTTGAATCCACTTCGTGATACACATGATGTTGAATTATTAATCATTTCATTCAAGACATATTGAGCACAAAGATAGTGAGGGTATGAAACAAATGGTATGTGGAGTCGGATCATAACTTTTCAGACATCATTTGTTTTCAGATGGCCATGTTTATCGCGATTACTCATGCTATGATGGGGGTCGTAGCATCAACAGACATTGTAAATACTCAGATGATGGCTTGTTATTAAGAGAAAGATGTCTTTTAAAAGTGAATGAGATGCTTTACAGTTGTTCATGTGATTAGAGAGAAACCAATAAACATTTCTTAAGCATCCTAAAACCCATATCACGGGGATAATTCACCTGGCTAGAGCGTCCATCTCTCACATTTCTAGACTACTCACAAGAAGTTTAAGAACACCCAATCTATTCACAAGACTATAGATTAACTGTAGTTGTATGAAACAATTGGGTGTTCTTAAACTTCTTTTGAGCAGGGGGCGGGCGGGTAGCCTAGTGGTTAAAGCGTTCGCTCGTCACGCCGAAGACCCGGGTTCGATTCCCGACATGGGTACAATGATATTGCTTGAATATTGCTAAAAGCGGCGTAAAACCATACTCACTCACTCACTCTTTTGAGCAGAATATGATAAATAACCCACGACCCACCCATGCTGCATAAAGTGACGGTTGCACAACTTAGATTTGACTTTCTTTACCATGTTCTCACTGTACACTCCCCAGTTGATACCTCCCACATATCATAGCCCTGTGATGTCTTCTAGGATATGACGGACTGACATGGAGGTCACAGTCTGGTGCTATGAATTAAGCGTCAAAACGGATGTGTTTATTACAGTTTTCACCCAACTAGGCATCTCTAGGGCAGGGCATGGATCTGATTGGATGTTGCTGATTGACCGACTTTGTACAACTTAAACATCACCCGGGGGCACATTAGAAAACATGGCCCAACCAGCAGGAATATTATATTATTTCATCAGAATACATTTTATCACCCCAAACTGGCTTCCACAGGCGATTTCGCTGTAATGAAATTGCATCACAATGCTTTGCAGACCATTATGACATCGTCAGTTACCATCACAATCAAATGACATCACTAATCTCCCTGCCAGTGAGGCGAGTTAGCTGACACTGCTTATTACTGTTTATGGACTGAAAAAGTTCTAAAAATTATTTTTGATGATAAATAGAATTTGACTTCAGTGTCTTTTGATACCCAATATATTGATACTTGTCAAGTTAAGTTTAAAACTCCTCTGCAAGCCTCCGAGTTTTAGGCTTGTATTGACTCATGTTGACATAAATGATGCCCAACTGAGATTCTCTGTTTTCCCAACAAATAAATACCTGTGATTAGCTCCACTCTGTCCATATTGAAAAATGTGGCGGTGGGTCTGTGAAGGATGTGGCGGTAGGTCTGTGAAGGATGTGGCAGTGGGTCTGTGAAGGATGTGGCAGTGGGTCTGTGAAGGATGTGGTGGTGGGTCTGTGAAGGATGTGGTGGGGGGTCTGTGAAGGATATGCTGGTGGGTCTGAAGGATATGCTGGTGGGTCTGAAGGATGTGGTGGTAGGTCTGTGAAGGATGTGGCAGTGGGTCTGTGAAGGATGTGGCAGTGGGTCTGAAGGATGTGGTGGTGGGTCTGTGAAGGATGTGGTGGTGGGTCTGTGAAGGATGTGGCAGTGGGTCTGTGAAGGATGTGGAGGTGGATCTGTGAAGAATGTGGCGGTGGGTCTGTGAAGGATGTGGCGGTAGGTCTGTGAAGGATGTGGCAGTGGGTCTGTGAAGGATGTGGCAGTGGTTCTGTGAAGGATGTGGAGGTGGATCTGTGAAGAATGTGGCGGTGGGTCTGTGAAGGATATGCTGGTGGGTCTGAAGGATGTGGTGGTGGGTCTGTGAAGGATGTGGCGGTGGGTCTGTGAAGGATGTGGTGGTGGGTCTGTGAAGGATGTGGTGGTGGGTCTGTGAAGGATGTGGCGGTGGGTCTGTGAAGGATGTGGTGGTGGGTCTGTGAAGGATGTGGTGGTGGGTCTGTGAAGGATGTGGTGGTGGGTCTGTGAAGGATGTGGTGGTGGGTCTGTGAAGGATGTGGCAGTGGTTCTGTGAAGGATGTGGCAGTGGGGCAGTGGGTGGTGGTGGGTCTGTGAAGGATGTGGCAGTGGATCTGTGAAGGATGTGGCAGTGGGTCTGTGAAGGAAGTGGCAGTGGATCTGTGAAGGATGTGGTGGTGGGTCTGTGAAGGATGTGGCAGTAGGTCTGTGAAGGATGTGGTGGTGGGTCTGTGAAGGATGTGGCAGTAGGTCTGTGAAGGATGTGGTGGTGGGTCTGTGAAGGATGTGGCAGTGGGTCTGTGAAGGAAGTGGCAGTGGATCTGTGAAGGATGTGGTGGTGGGTCTGTGAAGGATGTGGCAGTAGGTCTGTGAAGGATGTGGTGGTGGGTCTGTGAAGGATGTGGCAGTGGGTCTGTGAAGGATGTGGTGGTGGGTCTGTGAAGGATGTGGGGGTGGGTCTGTGAAGGATGTGGCAGTGGATCTGTGAAGGATGTGGTGGTGGGTCTGTGAAGGATGTGGCAGTGGGTCTGTGAAGGATGTGGCGGTGGATCTGTGAAGGATGTGGTGGTGGGTCTGTGAAGGATGTGGTGGTGGGTCTGTGAAGGATGTGGTGGTGGGTCTGTGAAGGATGTGGTGGTGGGTCTGTGAAGGATGTGGTGGTGGGTCTGTGAAGGATGTGGCAGTGGGTCTGTGAAGGATGTGGCAGTAGGTCTGTGAAGGATGTGGGGGTGGGTCTGTGAAGGATGTGGCAGTGGATCTGTGAAGGATGTGGTGGTGGGTCTGTGAAGGATGTGGCAGTAGGTCTGTGAAGGATGTGGGGGTGGGTCTGTGAAGGATGTGGCAGTGGATCTGTGAAGGATGTGGGGGTTGGTCTGTGAAGGATGTGGCAGTGGATCTGTGAAGGATGTGGTGGTGGGTCTGTGAAGGATGTGGCGGTGGGTCTGTGAAGGATGTGGCAGTGGGTCTGTGAAGGATGTGGTGGTGGGTCTGTGAAGGATGTGGTGGTGGGTCTGTGAAGGATGTGGTGGTGGGTCTGTCACCAACCCCCCCAAAACTACTAAAATCTGTACTTGACTAAGAAAGTGTCATCCCACAAATAACTTTCTAAATGGCATCGTGTGTTGAAAGAAATTAATAACCAAAAGAATACAGCATCCTTGTCAACCATTGCAGGGACCACTCTTTGTTGGCACCACATCTACATTGTGCCATCTTTGGAGTCACACTGTCTCTGCTGGACAACATGGAGCTCGACATACTAGACAACGGTGTGACATGAACCACTAGGCACCCCATTATACATGCAGTTACTTATAATAAATCAATATGGTTCTGTCATCTGAA